CACCTAGAATGTATGGAACTTTATTTTACTGCGAATGTGCCCTTCCTGCCTTCTCTTGTGGCTTCTTCTTTGGCTTTGGATGTAAGGTATCTTTTTTTTTTTGAAGGTTCCAGCATTTTGTTGTTGGTGGTGGTGGTTGGTGGCTATTTAGCAGTTTGTTGTGATTTTAGTGTTTATGTTAGAAGAAATCACTCATGTTCTTTTACTTTGCCATCTTGTCTCTTCCACTGTACCACCAGTGTGCATATACTTTAAATTTTTTTCCCGCATTTTAAACACTATTAGTTTTACCTCTTTGTTGTGCTTTCGTGCTTATTTGCTCAGTCATGTCCACCTCTTTGTGACCTCATGGAGTGTAGCCCAGAACAATCCTCTGTCCATGGAATTTTCTAGGCAAGAATACTTAAGCAGATAGCCATATCCTACTCCAGGGGATCTTCCCAACTCAGGGATTGAACCCAGGTCTTCTGCATTGCAGACAGATTCTTTATCTTCTGAGCCACCTGGGAAGCCTTTCCTCCTTGTTAGTGAAGTCGCTCAGCTGTGTCCGACTACTCGAGACCCCATGGACTGTAGCCTACCACGCTCCTCTGTCCATGAGATTCTCGAGGCAAGAGTACTGCAGTGGGCTGCCATTTCCTTCTCCAGAGGATCCTCCTGACCCAGGGATCGAACCTGGGTCTCCCGCATTGTAGGCAGACGCCTTACCGTCTGAGCCACCACGGAAGTCCTGACCTCAAATACATGTTTTAAAATAGCATATACCATTCTTTTGATTGGATGTTATATTTTATGTAACCACCTCCTTTGAAGTCCCAGAAACTAACATTTCTAGGACTTAAAATTTTTGCCTGTTGCTTCTCCATATACACATATTGCATTTTGAATTATTATTTTCTCATACATTTCCAGGAATGAGTTATGGTTCAAAGGACATGACCATTTTTAAGATTTTGGATCTGTTCTGCCAAACTGCATTGCAAAAAGGTTATGCTTGGGATTTGGGGGAGAATGGATACATGTTTATGTATGGCTGAGTCTCTTCTCTGTTCAGCTGAAAGTATCACAACATTATTAATCAGCTATACCCCAATACAAAATAAAAAGTTTAAATAAATAAAATTACAAAAAAAAAGTTGTCCTAATTTAGTGCCACTAGCTGTATCATTGAGGACAACTTGTCACCACAGTCATCCCAGAACTGGGTGCTATTATTTTATACATATAGCTAATTTCATAAGCAACAAATGTCACTTCATTGTTTCCATGTGTTTTTCTTTGATTAGTACTTCAGTTAATTATTTTACCATATGTTTATGGTTCATCTTTTGTAAATTATCTATTTATTTGCCTGTTGGCATATTTTCTCCCCTCCTTTCTAATACTTATACCTCTTAACAGTATGAATACTTTTAAAAATCAGTTTAGATGAATTCTTTACAAGGATATTAACACTGTTATATTTGGTGCGAATTTCTTTTTAGTCTGTTTGCTCTTACATCTTGGCTATATTTTTCTTTTACTTATGTAAGTTTTGACTTTTAATGCTGACTTATAAATTCTTAAGCTCGGACATTTGCCTGACCAAGGAGGAAAAAAAAAAAAAAGAGGGGAAAGTTATCTGAAGTTGGTAAACATTTAGTTATATTTGTTCTTATCTTCAGACCCAGTCATCAAGATCAATTGCTTTAAGTAGATCAAAGGACACAGATTCCCCTCACTTCCTCATTGATAAAGAAGGATTCCAATGGAGATGAAGTGGGATCAACTCTAGGGTAGAGAACTTAATCCCAATGAAGGGGTTTCTTCTTTTTCTGGTTTTGGAACAAAGATTTGGATAAGTTGTGGGTGGTGAGGCAAGAGGTTGAGGTATAGTGAGGGAATGAACAATGGATGTGCCAGGAGACCCTCTGCCAAATTTCGTTTCAGGCTTGAAGTCCTAATGCTCACCATTTTTTTACCTTTAAAAACAAAACAAAACTAATTATTTGTTAATAAGCTAATTTTCTCCCTCTTGAAGGGAAATAACATGGGACTGCTGATTGTTGTTCCCAAGTCAGTCACACTAAGACCTGAGTGTTTTTTCGGGATGAGAAAATTCATGTTATTGACACAAAAGGAACTTGTGAGCTGTTGATGTGTGCAGTGTTCTTTTCAGACATGCCTAAAAATTTTATCTATTGGCTGCTTCATGCTGCTACTAAAAAACAAGGAGGAGCAAGCCCCTTAAAAATAACTGCAAATGACTTAGTGGACAGGATTAAGTCATGATTGGAATTAAAATGTTTGTATTACTGCTGATCACTTCTCCCAGAGGAGTTTTATATAGGTCCAAACTCCCCTTTCTCCCTGTAACCTGTCGCACCCATGCTTTTGAAGTAGAAATCTGGCAAGCTCTATATGTGCTTCTCAGAGTTCCAAACCCAGGTCTGCTTTGAATTTGGAAGGGAAAAAAAACAAGAGTGAAGTCAGAGTGGTAAACATTGTAGAAATCATTTTTTAAAAAATCTCTTAAAATATACATATAATTGCTTAAACCACTGTGAAAAACAGGAATGTCCTGTAGCCATTATTTCACTCCACAGAAGGCATTATTTCCAAGTTATTTCTTAATTTTTGCTTTTATATATAGATTTTTAAAAAATCTTAAATTGCTACTTTTTGATTGTCTTTAAATTTTAGGCATTTCTGATTGACATCCCTATATGAGAGAATTTGTTATTCTCCACATACACATCATGGCCTATTAGCTCAGTTGGTTCGAGCGTGGTGCTAACAATGCCAAGGTCGCGGGTTTGATCCCTCTGCGGGTCAGGGGAACTTTTCCTTCTTACCACTCAAGGTGGTTANTTTTCCTTTCCCTTTGACTTGCATAGATTTATAGGTACTTCTCTCATCCATCCCTCAATTGTCTTATAAAAGTTTCATTTCCTGTCAGTAGTTCAAACACATCAAGCATTTCATCAGCCTGATCTTCTTGGGACATTCCACTCAGCAGATGATGGCATTTATTATGGCTGTTCAGTGTCCTCACTTGTAGGTTTTTGGCTTCTTCACTGGTTGTGAATGATGGCGGAGCCGAGGTGGGGGGCGCGGTAAACTGGATTAGTGAGATGGGACTTGTGTTCAGAATGTTGGGGATTTTCTAGTATTCCATACAAATAGAGGATCTAAAGTGCCTTCTCTGGGATGAAGTATCTTCAGTAAGTGATATACTTAAGTGTTAGTGCCTATTACTCTAATGTTGTCTTCTCTCTCCTTTTCTTTATAGATATCAACTTACTTATACACAATTCTGTAAAATACTTAATTAGTGGAGTAATATTTTCTAAAATTTTAGGTAAAGTAGCAAAATTTTCTTCCCACATAGCAAAAAATAACAGCATTGATATTCAACCTTGGAAAAATATTGCTGGTGGCATTAAAATTGTTACAATTATGTCTGAGAAATAATTTGCCAATATGCATGATAGCAACAAAAATCATCCTTCCCTTGCCTTTGCAATTTTAGTCTAGGATTACATGTCAAGGAATTAATTTAAAACATGGAAAAAGCTGTATGTCCCAATGGTATTATTTGCATTGGTGAAAAACTGGAAATATTATGTCCATTAATAGGGGAATGGCTAAGTAAATGGTGGGAATATATACTTTGCTTTTTATGTACATGTAAAAATATGAAAATACTTACTGTATTGTAACATTAAACAACAACCAAAAACTGAGTAGTCTGCCCAGTACCCTGTTCTTACAACTATGTAAAACATAGATGTTGAAAACTGAAACCATCTACTCCATACAGTTTACATGAACATGACCTCCATATTCCAACATTTGCTGGTATAACTTTACTCTTCCAGGAGTCTTTTTGCCAGGTAAATAACTTTATTTTTATGATGTAATTTGTCAACAGACTCATAAAGTTGTCAATAGAAAGTATCAACTAACAGTTATGTCCTAAGACTCTCTGAACCCTGCTGTTTCTTACCAATCCTCAATAATTATATCATGATCTGTACTCAGTCTTAAGCCCTGCTTCTTCAAAGATCTACCTTAAACAAAACTCCGGAATTTCAATAAAATCTGATATTGCCCTTACCCCTCTGAGATACTGCCAAAGCTCTGTTGAAGTAATGTTCTCTGTTATGTCAGTTGGCAGTGAACTCAGCCCTGTATTATTGATTAATCATGTTGGGCTACTTGGGGAACCAGCAAGTAACAATATAGGAAAAGTGTGCAACATATGCATAGAGAAAAGACAAAAGGAATATGTAAAAATAAATAATATATGCATAAAGAAAAGACAAAAGGAATATGTAAAAATAATAGTTACATGAGGGGACTGTCAAATTTTCAAGTTTTTTTTAAATGGTATTATGTAATGAGGACAAGGTTTATTTCAGTTAATAACTAAGAATTCATTCTGGTAGAGCTATCTTTTAATGTGTTAAGATCAAATAAAGGCAAAGCTGTGTAACTTATTTTCTTTGTTGTATTTTGTAGAACAATCAATATCAATCCAGAGAGAAGACTACTAAGGTAGAGAAAGAAGCTATTCATATTGTAATTAGGCTTGTCGAATTGAAACACTTGTAGATTCAGTGGTGATGAAAATGTTCCCCAAATGCTCTAAAATCACTTAATGTTGAGAAATAATCAGGAAGACACTGACAATGACCTTTAAGTGAGTTCTGGTACTTAATTTAGCCAGTGGTTTGCTTAGCACTGAGTGACCTAAATGTTGTAAATCTAACACAATATATAGATGCAGCTCACAAAATTAAAAGCCAGGCTTTATTAGCAAATTTGGTAGTCAATGGACTTTGCAGTGTTAAATATATTTCCTATCATTTTACGAACATCAGGGAGAAAGCAGGCATGCAGACAGTTTGTGCAGCTGGCAAAAGCAGCACTCAACTATTCCTTTTGTATATTTGGCAATTATTTACACAGCTTCTGTTCAAGTAAGGATATGCTTATGACAGGAATAAAGACAGAAATACCAAGATTAATCAGGTAATTTTATTTAATATTTACCATTCAGCAGCAACCAACATGAACATCTGGGCTAATAGAATCTCTTGAAATGTTCTGCTATATAGCTGCTTCAGAAATACACACACATGATCGACTGTTCATTGCCCCAATTAAAAAAAAAAAAATGGATTCAAGAGCAAATAACACTGATTTACACTGTGCCCAAGCACTAGTCAAGAAATCTATTAAATTACAGAAGAAAAGGAAATCAAAGCTTTGTTATCTTAAGCATGTCACCTTATTTAAATGGAGGGAAGGCTTTACTTCTTTAAAGCAACAGAAATATGTATCTTCCTATATATATAGATATATATATACTTAAGGATGTGATTACAAACACAAAGTGTTATCATCAAAAGCAAAAGCTAGTTCAAGAAATTTTCAACTGAAAAACTTGCAAGATACAAAGCTAAAATTCATGTTCCTTTTCTCTATTAAGAATACTTTCACTAAACATAAATATTTTAACATATATTAATTTTTCTGACATTCAAAACTGTAGTCAATATGGCAGAATTATTGTTAAAAGCACATATGTACAAATATTCTTTTTCCATACATAAAGTATTTGGCATAATTATAACAATCATACTGCATCCACAACAGTTTGCTTTTATTTTTAATTTTTTTACATGTAATGGTATCTCTTATTAAAATTAACCAGTTATGTACAAAAATACTTGAACATTTATTATAGAAAACCTCTATAACCAGTCTCAACAGCATATACCTGCTGAATGGTTTCGAAGGGAATATAAAAAAGTGGTCACTGCCTTCTGGGTAAGCTATCAACAAAAACACACAGTTAAACTAAAATGAGCTTCCCAACAAAAGAGGGAAAATATTCAACAGTATGATTTAAAATACAGTTCATATCTATTGTCAGTTGAGTGTTATAAACAGTCAGTAAAGAAAACAAGATATAAAATACATTACTACATACAAGGTGCTTTTCTCTTTTCACACTCCTACGACTGTGGCATTAGCATCCCTATCTAAATCTAAGATGCTATGTTGTAATGTTCAAGCTAGAGCAGTCTATAGCCATCCTCCTTCAACAAAAGGACAACAGGATTAGTTCAGCAGACAAGCCCCACTGGTAACAATGGAGTTGTGAGGAATTTCTTATTTTGTGCAGGACTGAAAGTTAATGCCCTTGCCTTTAAAAAGCCCTTTGCCAATTAAACAAGCCAAAAAAATTTCCCCAACTTTTTTCTTCATTTACTCTATTGATTTAATACTGTCCTGTATTGATTCCTGAATTCTTGTTAATGGGACACATTAATTTGTGCCTACTTAATACATGAACATCTCTTCTTCAATGACAAATTGGGTAGCAGAAATTATCTAAGGAAGCACAAGATTCAAGTAAACATTTCTCCTGGGGTCTTTTGCTTCATCAACCTGATGGGAACTCTGGAAGTAAATTGCACCTTGAAAAGAAATACAGTAGATACCATGGTGTCAGGGTACTAAACGGTTTACCAGCCAAATGGTATAGTAGCTTCTGAACAATGTAGACAGCAGTCAAGGTCAAAAGCAACCTTCAAGAAGTATGTTTCAAGAACAAAACCGCTTCCAGTCCCAATCTTTGCAGCTCCTTTAGTGTATATCTCATTAGCCTGCTTTAACTTTTAATTATGACTATGTGCATTCACTTGTCTGTTGATAGAAAGAGTCAGAAATCTCACCTTATTTACAGAAGTCTTCTAAAGTAAGGACCACTGCCTTAGGATGTGCACTGACTTAATAAGCTTTCATGAAGTATCAAGTATTCAGTAAAAAGTATACAACACTATCACGCTTCGTATTGTTCGACAATATTTTACTGGTTGAGATTATGTAAAAAAAAAAAAAGTGAACATAAAAAGATACAAAAGAAGGCTTTATCACTATCACTTTCAAACGAGAAACGGTGTCATGAAATTCAGCCATACTTGGGACATCTGGCGTTGGGGATCAGTAACTTTTAATATTGTGCAACATATTCTATTAAGCGAGTTTAAATTCCATTCATCTAAAGACAAATCTGAGTTAAGTTATTAAAGTGCCTACACTAAGGATGTCTTCTCACCATACCTCTTGATGTCTTGTAAACGGCAAAGAATGCGTCGCAGGGAAGTAGAAAAGGGACTTATAACTGGGAGACCTTCCGGGGCAGGGGCCTGGGCCGCGGGCCGGGGTCCGTCCTCCTGGTCCCGTTCTCCAGGTGGCCCGACCGCGCCGCCAGGGGCTTGGGGGGCAAGGCGGGCGGCTCGGCGGTGACGGGGATGGAGAGGCTGTGAGGCAGTGGCACGGGGCGCCGCAGAGTCCGCTCGTACACGCTGTAGGGCGGCGGCGTCTTGCTCTCCTTGCGCACCGGCTCCTCCGACCCCGGCGGCGCCGCGGCCGGCTCATTCACCTGATTCTCGAAGCCTGAGGTCTCCGACGTGCTACACCGGCTGAGGGAGGAAATCCCGCTGCTGTAGCTGCCCGACAGCACGGGGGAGCTGGAGACGAGTCCTGGGGAGTGGTACTCCACGGGGGACGGGGTGAAGGACTGCACGGAGCCCTGTGCGGGGGGAGACGGCAGAGCGGTCAGCGTCGGGTGATGAGCTCTGCTGGGTCCCCCATCAAACCCAGAGGCCGAAGCCCTCCTCTCCCCACCCCTGGGGAGGCATGGCAGGCCCTGCCCCGGAGACCTCTGGGCTCTTGCCAGGCTCACAAGCTGAAGGCTGGCAGCCCGCAGGCTATGTAGCACTGTTTTTAAAAGCCTCGGTGGTTAATTCTGTAAAATAGGGCGGTTTCCCACCAAATGTGCATTTCTTTAAGCACTGGACGTTCTAGCATCGTGGCTCACTATCCCTTTAGGTAGAGAATCTCTTGCTGAGCAGGGACTGGCCCTTTGGGTGGGGCCTGAATCCGTCGGTTTCCCGCTGTCACCACCACATCACACAGACGCCTCAGTGCTGTCTATTCCCACTGGCAGCAAGATCTGCACTTCCCTTTGGGCTTCCCTGCTGGCTCAGAGGGTAAAGAATCTGCCTGCAATGCAGGAGACCTGGCTCCATCTCCGGGTGGGCAAGGTCCCCTGGAGAAGGAAGTGGCAACCCGCTCCAGTACTCCTGCCTGGGAAATGCCGTGGACAGCGGAGCCTGGCGGGCTACAGTCCGTGGGGTCACAAAGAGGCGGCCACGACTGAGACAGACAGACACACACACACACACACACACTCTCCCTCTCTCCTAACAGCGCTCTGTGAAAAGAGGATTCTACTGGGAAATATTGCATCCTATGTACTCCTTGAGTCCATTCAAAGCCTATTAGCTCATTAAAGTCTGACAATAAAGGAACCTCAAAGGCTTTGTTCAGTCCAGTGTTTGCTAAACTTATTTCACCACAGACCTTTTTTTATACCTCCTCATTTATCACATAATGGCCTATAAAACCAAGAAATGTTATCCTACACTAACTTTACCTCGGTCTCTCTTTTTAAACATGAGAATGCTGGTAGACACAAATCCTTTCATTTATCAGGAGCCTAAGATCAAGAATGGCCAATTAAAAGATCCAAATTCACTGGTGTGTTTTGTTAAAAGTTCGACCCAAGTGCAAAACAGGGCAGGTAAGCTGAGTCTTCTCTACGGGGTTAATTCCCTCATTTAATTGCTGAAAAAAACTCTTAAGGAGTTTTCTGCATTCTAAGCACAGCAAGAGAAGGGGACGGCAGAGGATGAGATAGTTGGATGGCATCACCGACTCGATGGACATGAGTTTGAGCAAGCTCTGGGAGCTGAAGATGGACAGGGAAGCCTGGCGTGCTGCAGTCCCTNGTTGGATGGCATCACCGACTCGATGGACATGAGTTTGAGCAAGCTCTGGGAGCTGAAGATGGACAGGGAAGCCTGGCGTGCTGCAGTCCCTGGGGTTGCAGAGTTGGCCACAGAGTGACTGAACTGAACTGAAGCACAGCAAAGCTAGTAACGTGGGGGCACTACGCCCTCTAATGTCACCCGGAGTTACAACACAGTGGTTCATCTTTTCAAAGCCTGATTTGTAGATACTGCTACAAGGCTACCTGTGGCCAGCAAGAACACAGGCAGGTATGTAGAAAGAAGGGTATACACCACTTTGCTAATTGGTGGCTACGCGAATATTTTCAACTCTTTGATTCTATTATTAGGAATTATTCTTTTTTAATTTTACCTGATTACTAATTTGCACAATCAAGTTAAAAAATGCATATGTGAATCCCATAGCAACATGTGGGGTTCTTTGCGAGTAAGGGGAAATGTAACGATGCGGAAACACCGTGTGGCTTTGTTTCCAACACATTAAGATAAGTCTATGGCTCCCGGGGTGAATGCAGTCCCATGCACTTTACGATTAACAGCTGCATGGCAGTATGACAACCAAACCAGCAGATAATTTGCACCCACTAGCAAATTTTGACATCAGAAATGTCAGCAATGCAAATCACGCTTTTTTTTTTTTTTGGCAATTTTCTCCACTGCAGGGGTGGGGTGGGGGAGGGGAGGTTTCCTTCCAGATTCTCAATTTCTACCAGCAACAATCCTGAGTACCACAGATGCACAGGATCACAATCTGCCCTTATGTGTTTGCAGAAGCTAGTTTCTGTTTTTCTTTTACATTCGTTCGAAATGTCTCATCAACAAAAAGGACACAGAGCATGCGAATCCTAAGCCATTCAGGAACAAATCATTCCTTCCACAGTCACTTCATCTTTAAGCCTCTGGTGTAGCAGCTCTGAACACCTACCTCTGAAAGCACCAACAATCCTTGCAGCCAGTCTGATTCAATTTGGATAGAGACTAAATATTATTCTTTACCTTCAGGAGGAATTTTGTATGTTTAGAGATGTTAAATAGTCTATGTCTTCATATTAAATCAAATATCTGACCTTTAAAGCTTTCCAGTTTGTTTCCCAGAGATTTTAAAATTCATTTTACTGTCTTGTTTTTCATGATCAAGTATGTACCTCTAATGTAAATGGAAGCCTTGGTATAATATGTTAAAAGAGAAAAAGTTGGGTTTGGCATTTTCAAAATGAGTGAGACTGATGAAAAAGGCACTTGAGAATATTTAGTAGATCTTGGTTATTTTTCAGCATTATCCTTTATTTTAAGGCACATCAAAAACAAACACTTAAGTTGAAAATATCCTAGAAGATACCTAGGGACCATTTCTTTCTAATTCAGTGTATATACTCACTCTAGTTTGTACACTCTCATTGCTACCATTTGGAGAAAAAGGCTAATAATCTGAAACCAAACAGCAGACTCCCCAAAGGGAAAAGTCTAATGTTGTTTTCTCACCCATCTTCCTCTCCCCCTTCTATGTTCTCTGCCTGGTCTTTGTAGATGAAAGCACCTTATTGATGTAACAGGGGAAAAAGTAGCAAGGGGCCAATTTCTAGCTCCCATCTAAACAAGAGCCTGTACCTTCAGTGGAGATCGCCCAGCAGGCGAGGGGGATACTGATGCCGTGTGCCTTGCTGGTGAAGCTGTGAAGAGAGAGAATCATTTCAGTTTAGAAAACCAGACAGCTGACTACCTGAAAAAGCCCTCTGTGTGTACAAACCCATACAGGTGATCCCGCGCACAAGGATCTAGGCAAGGGGGGGCATGGGTGGAAAGACTGAATGGTGCCCACCCAGAATGGATTCCCCACAAAGGATGGCAGCTCCAAGACATGGGGTAATCAGTGAGAAGTAACCAGAGCACACATGATGCTTTAACCAAGTGACTGGTCCAGCATCCTTTCCACCTCCTCAAAGCCCAGATGCTTGTCTGCCCCTTGGTCTATTTCAAAGGGAGCTTTTACGCGTGAGGTGCCAGGGAGCAGACTTTGGGCTGAGCAGGAATGGAAAGACCCAGGTCCCCCTGGGTCACCCAGACAGCTTCGAATAGGTCCCTGGGAATGTACTGACATCAGTCTCCCCTTTCACCACCCCTTGCCACCCCCCCCCCTTGCAATATTCCTGAAATTGACAGAAACCCCTTGGCTACATCCATATAAAAGGTAAGAAGTTTTCGACTTTTCTCCCTAATGTCTGTACTTGGGTTAGGAGGTCATCATTAAGATAAGAAGAACCCTCTCTGTTTCTCCCAGCAGATTTTCAAGCCTTACACCTGGGAAATGGCCAGTGTGATGACTCTGCAAAAGTCTAATGTTGTTTTCTCACCCATCTTCCTCTCCCCCTTCTATGTTCTCTGCCTGGTCTTTGTAGATGAAAGCACCTTATTGATGTAACAGGGGAAAAAGTAGCAAGGGGCCAATTTCTAGCTCCCATCTAAACAAGAGCCTGTACCTTCAGTGGAGATCGCCCAGCAGGCGAGGGGGATACTGATGCCGTGTGCCTTGCTGGTGAAGCTGTGAAGAGAGAGAATCATTTCAGTTTAGAAAACCAGACAGCTGACTACCTGAAAAAGCCCTCTGTGTGTACAAACCCATACATGTGATCCCGCGCACAAGGATCTAGGCAAGGGGGGGCATGGGTGGAAAGACTGAATGGTGCCCACCCAGAATGGATTCCCCACAAAGGATGGCAGCTCCAAGACATGGGGTAATCAGTGAGAAGTAACCAGAGCACACATGATGCTTTAACCAAGTGACTGGTCCAGCGTCCTTTCCACCTCCTCAAAGCCCAGATGCTTGTCTGCCCCTTGGTCTATTTCAAAAGGAGCTTTTACGCATGAGGTGCCAGGGAGCAGACTTTGGGCTGAGCAGGAATGGAAAGACCCAGGTCCCCCTGGGTCACCCAGACAGCTTCGAATAGGTCCCTGGGAATGTACTGACATCAGTCTCCCCTTTCACCACCCCTTGCCACCCCCCCCCCTTGCAATATTCCTGAAATTGACAGAAACCCCTTGGCTACATCCATATAAAAGGTAAGAAGTTTTCGACTTTTCTCCCTAATGTCTGTACTTGGGTTAGGAGGTCATCATTAAGATAAGAAGAACCCTCTCTGTTTCTCCCAGCAGATTTTCAAGCCTTACACCTGGGAAATGGCCAGTGTGATGACTCTGCCGTGTGTGTGCCCTCATGGACCAAATCCACCTCTCTAAAGCGTAAGCACACATACTACAGCCAGCCATGACACTGTCAGCACGAGAGTATAAGCCAGATTTCCCAGGTCTGCCTACAGCATTTTCAGTGGGCTCAGGGTTTGCTGCTCTGCGATGAGCTGCCATGCTCCCAGCTGTCACAGTGGGGTTTGCAGCTCATAAGAAAACCACAGAAAGGCCGAAGGGAAGAGAGACGGTTACAGATCCCACCAGCAGTGAGCACATAGGATGACATGAGCACAGACCATGACAGCAATGAGTGCAGAAGGGAAGGCAGCGCTGCCAAGGTAACTGGGGAGAGGTACGGTCACCTGTGTGCTCTGGGCCTAAGGACTAGGGAGAGTGGCCGGTCCCCCCCAGTGGGGTCGTGCAGATCCATCTTGCATGCCAGGGTATGCTGTTAGCATGTGCCATGTTCCATTGCCACTGTTAGTTCTCAATTGTGGGTGTCGAGTATAGAATAAGAGCATGGACGTCTAGGGAAGCACATCTTGATTGGGAAATGGCATTTTTATTGTCTGGGACCCTCTTCCTCTCAACTTAGGCATTCCCTGACACCACCACTGTGGACCACCCAGCAGCCCCTGCACCCTCTGCATGTTTAGAGTGATGTTTCTCTAGAAAAGACATAAAATAGTTCTATCCTTGCCCTTGCCTACAAGGTAGAGTTAGCCTAGGAACCTAAATACCATGAATATTATTGTCTCTTTGAAAACACTTTTCAAGTTTCCAACTTTAGGGACACAACCAGGTTTAAACTGGAGGTTGCTGCAATGTACAAACATCATGAATAAAACACCAAGTACTGGTTGGTGAGTTTTAAACTTCCATGGTCACACTGACCTAGCAATGCAGATTATCAAGGAAGGCTATAGTTATTTCTTGTTCTGTTTGAAGATCTCACATGTCTTTCCAAATCTACTGGCAACTTCTAGCTTTGGAAAGTACAAAACAAACTGGGTAGCACACAGTTTATTTTAAAAAGATAGTTAGTTTTCTTTCTTTGGTTAAAAAAAAAGAAACTAGAAAGATGTTAAAATACAGCAAACGAAACAGGGTGATCAATCCAGAAAAATCCATGAAAAACATAGTGTCATATTTTCTCATGCCTTTAGGCTAGTTGTATTTGTAAAGCTTCAAAACGACTCTAAATATAGGTGAAGTGTTGAAAAAGCTCTCCCCATCAAGAGGACACAGTTAGTAAAGTGCAACAGACTCTCTTAAAAACTGCCCTCATACACAGGTCCCCCAGCAACGGCTTCTTCAAGAGGAAAGGGGGTCCATTACTGTTATAAACTCGGACAGGAAGTTTCTTAAGAATAATCTTCAGTGGCTCAAAATTTAGAAAGGTTTGGTAAAACACAGATTCTAGGGCTTTGGCCCAGATATAGTAAAATTCTGATTCTTAAACCACGTCCCTAGGAGATGCAGTGCCTTGAATGAACCCTTTGAGAAAGATGACCCTGGAATACAGTCTTGGCTAAGCCATAGGGGCAAGGTACTGGTTGGTTGGTTCTCCACAAGCCTATCCAAATCACAGTCAATCCTACTCACGGACAACCTGAAATGGGGGCATCAGTCCTGCAGAAAGTGGCTGGAGTTCGCAGAGGCTGATAAGAATGAGGTGCTTCAAGCGAAGGATAGAGAAGATGCTAGTAGTTCAGCAAGGTTAGGGTGCCCCCCCCACCCCCAGTTCTGAGGATGGTACCTAGGAAAAGAATGTTCAACAGTTTAGGAGTGGTGCGCTTGTGGACTTAGTATAACAGGAGTTGAGGAAAAAGAGGGAACACTGCAGATGAATTCTGTAGCTACTACAAAGGTTTTTACCTTGGACACATCAAATGCCTACCTTTCTGAGGAATTCAGGTCGGAGTAGTCAATAAAAGTTATTTTTATAAAAATGATTGTTAAATGCTTCAAATACCCACCAGTCTGTGTGGGCCGTGGAGGGACTGGGGGAGAGATGAGCTTCCCACCATCTGCTATGTTCTTGGCTTCCTTCCCACTGTCCAGGCTCCAGCTGCTAGGGGTGGGGTTCACAGCTGGAAGGGAATAACACAGCTAAAATCACATGGTCCACGTCACCCTGCGAACACTCAATCTTAGAAGTCAGAATTATCCAGAATGAACACAGCAGCTGGATTAAAAATAATAATAAGGAAACTTCCTAAATGCGAACCCTTTATTTAATTGCCCACCTCACAATTATAGGTGACATTTCATTGGGTGATAGCATGTCTCTCTTTTTCCCTCAAGCAGTCAGAACTACACATCTCGACAAAAGAGTGTAGAAACTTGAGATTTACAAATGTGTTTAGACACTGGATAACAGATGGAAGATGTAGTCACTCGACTATTTTAAAACTTGATTTTTAGCGGAATTTTCTGGACAAATAGCACCCTAAAAGGGGGAAGGCAGTGGACACTAATATCTCCACTTCCTGGCAGAATTACTGGTAAGGAACAGCCACACCACACCATCCTGTTGGCCCTTGTTCCTCAAGTCAAAGGGCTATAGTGGAGAACGTCCTAAAAAAATAATTTGGAATGCTGACAGTATCATTCCTTTTTTGTAATCTATCTGCTGCACACTTCAGTAAGATGTGGAAATATGGAACAACCCCGTTAGGAACAAGGGCAAGACATACAAGGTTATAAATAGCTGCTCTGAAAGGAGGTTTACAAAATCAAGTCTTTAGAGAGTTCCAGTCTGTTGCTTGTTGAGCAGACCCTGCCACCTGGTGGACATAGCCAGAATTTCAACATTTTATGATTATATTACCACTTTAATTGGATGGAAACAACACTCGTAAAATACATTTCCTCTGGTCCTTTTAAAGGTAGCTTTGTGGGTTTTCTTTGGTAAAAGAGGTGAGAAAACGACCACCTTTCTAAGTTATCCAGACAAAGATCAATATTCGACTTGTAGCTGTAAAGCAAAATGTGTGCTTTGAAATAATTTAGGCTACAGTCTTGCTGATTCCTATCTCCCGAGGAAAGTTTTAATGTATCCGTGTACTCAAATGACAATGCAGTCGAGATCTTAATGGGGACAATTAAAATGCACTTTACAGGGATATGTCATTAGTGTGTTAATTTGCTGGCTCGGGGACTGCTCTGATTTTTGAGGCTGACTGGGAGGTGAACGAGTGCCCTGCTGCCAGTCCCCATCCCCCTAGCTGAGGAAGTCACATTTAATCCACCCTTCTTCCTCTGCTGTGTCACACAGACCAATGATAATTGGCTGTTAACTGCTATGCATATGTTGGTTTCTCATTTTTCATGTGACCTTGAGGCAGGGTACACTCCATTATGCAGTGGATTGCAAACTTTCAATAGCATCTGAGTCACCCACAAGCAACAGATGAGCTGACTGAATGAGCTTGGTAAGGCAGACACAACGTGGGACCAAGGGCCCATCTGGGAAGGTGCTTACTGTCCTTGTGTTGAACAAGCAGCCTGACTGGCCACGTGGTTTCAGGCAGCGCAGCGGCTGCCTCAGTGGCTCACTGAGTGACACCTAAAGTCATTAAACAGAGGTGTCCCTACCTTGCTCAGATTCTGCTGCTAAATCCTACAGGAAAACAGTTTGTGAAGAATGTATCAGAAATAACTGCCTTCCATCTATCCCCTAAGAGCAGATCAGTCCTGATCATTAAAGGTCTGCACATCTGCCTTCCACAGGGACACAAGGGCGACTGGAGGAAATGAAGACAGCACACTGTTACACGTTCCATGACTGACGAAGACACTGGCTTCATACCCACCTTTCTCAGGCGCAGAAAGATTGGGGTCACTGCGTGGCAAGGCTCCATCTCCAATGTGATTAAACAGCAGCCTCTGGAAAGGCACAAGAATATTTTTATGGTGCAAGATACTGACAGGTGAGATCTAGAAAACGAGGTGATTATTTTATTACTGAATGGTGTATGCTACTGCTACATCGTGTCTGACTCTCTGCGACCCTCTGACCCACCAGGCTCTTCTGTTCATGGAATTTTCCAGGTAAGAAGGCTAGAGTGTGTTACCATTGCCTACTCTAGGGGGTCTTTCCAACCCAGGGATCTAACTCACAGCTCTTGTGTCTCCTGCATTGGCAGGCGGGTTCTTTACCACTAGTGACACCTGGGAAGCCCTTACCGAACCTTTTGTTTTAAAAAAAATGTTTCATATGGCAAAATAAGCCATATAAAACATTACTGGCTTAACACTGTTGATGATTGGCTTATCATTATTGAATTATTGTTCAATAATGACTCAATTATATTTAAGGGAAAAAAAGGAGAAGACCCTTAGGTTTCAAACAGTGTTTCTAAATGGTGTTTTAAAAGTCTATAGAGGATTTCAAATATTGGGCTGGCCAAAAAGTTTGTTTGGGTTTTCCCATACCATCCTCAAATGAACTTTTTGGCCAACCGAATATAACTGGCAAATAAATTTTTGTAACAAAATATGGAAAAAATAAACAGTAAGTAGCAGTTAAGCTACAGTGCTCTTTATAAATACAAATGCTAGACTGGCAATATAAAATATAAGTAAGAAAGAAGAAATATTAGCTCAAAAAATCTCTAGTCAATGAACTTTACATTTTAAATCCTAGATTAGGTTAAAACATATGAAATGGTTAGTATGTTGCAATCTTTAACCCACAAAAATGCCAGTTTTACATAGTTCTACCTAATATATTAAACGAAAGGCACCAAGTCCTTAAAAGTAGATACACCAGAGGAATGTGTATTATGGAAATTTTGGCAACACACACTGCTTCAAATTTTACCAAAAGCAGAAAACTCGGGAGGCTAATCTGGAAGTCTTTCAGAGTTCCCCACGCTGGTGACCTGCTCTCCAGGAGCAGAGGGAACAAACGGAAAGTCCTGGGCAACATCAAGTGACAAGGGGAAATTAAAGCAGCCAGGTGGTTCAGGAAAATGCACGTGGCTACAGTTTCTGCAACACGTCCGTGCTGTGTGGATGGGGTACCCTGGAACTTTGGGGAAGATCAGAATCGGCAAAGAAACCAATCCAGACAAACCCCCCTCATTCTCATCCATTTCCAGATGCAACTAGCCTTCTGCCAGGATGGTGTGGCAAAACAGAAAATGAACTGGAGGATAAATAATGATTACTCTCTGCTCCTGAGTTACCCACAAATAACCGATAAAACTGAGGGCTCCATAGGAATCTTGACCTTTGAAACCCTGCCTCAAGGTGCTGAAAGGGCCCAGGGGTGAAAACGTTGGCCCTGCAGTCACTGAGGCTGAGAGACATCACTGCAGACCCAGGTCTGAGCGGGTGGAGAGGGCTGCTGGGGAGGCCCCAGGGTTCAGCCACTCCCTCCTCAGTGCATTTAAGAACCGCAGAGGCAAAAAGACACCCTCATCACTCTTGGAAACCTCGGTAAGCAATCCGTGGCAGCCATGCCTCTCCTCAAGGAGGCGCTAGGGTAAAGAACCCGCCTGCCAATGCAGGAGACATAAGAGATGCAGGTTCAAACCCTGGGTTGGGAAGATCCCCTGGAGGAGGGCATGGTAACCCACTCCAGTGTTCTTGCCTAGAGAATCCCATGGACAGAGGAGCCTGCTGGGCTCCTGTCCATGGGGTCACAAAGAATCGGACATGACTGAAGCGACCTGACACGAAGTGCAAGGAGTTCCTCCAAATTTCTGCAGACAGACACCCCCGCCCCTAACTCAGTCACCCCTGACCTCTCTTAATGTTCAAGTGGCAGCAACAAAATAGTCAGATCAAAGTGGGTAAAATCACTTCCCAATTCCCTCTCAGCTCTACTCCCCGCAACCACCAGGCATCCACGTCAGATTCGACGGTTCACACAGAACTTCCCAACACCAGGCCCGGGGCCGAGGTGTGGACTTCACCCAGCTGGACTTGTCAGCACGGCCCGTCTGGTGGTCTCTGGCAGCTCCGGTGACTTTCTGCAGCCCTGTAAGTAGCATCCAGACTTCTCCTTGTTTCCTAGAATTTCCATCCCCCACACACTACCTGAGAAGGTTCCACAGGTGTCGGATAGATGGCGCTGCATGGCCGCTCTCTCGGGGACAGGCAAGCGTTTTCTCTGGAATGTTTGTGTTTGTCGGACAACAGAGGAGAAGCTGGGAAGAGATGGGAAGAGAGGCTCCTCAGGGTGGTGGTGAGCTGGGGCCGTTTGGAGGAGAAAACCTGAGCCTACGGGAGACTGGAAGGTCCGCTGGGCACCCTCAGTCCACCCCACGCCTTGGCACTGACCTCTGGCACTCGAGGGAGCAGAACTTGTCACATTAGGCGAGGCGGAGTGAGTAGAACTCAAGCTTGAGGTAGATGGACTTGGCTGGAAAACACGGGAGCTGTCATCAGATAAGGCTTAGAGGCTGCAGACTACACTGACACGTTTGAAACAAAATCACCATTTTTTTTTCCAAAGTAGGAAAAAAAAAGCCCATTAAGAATTATGGGAAAATCTCACTAACTCAGACCAATATCTGTCTGAATTAATTAAAAAAAAAAAAAATCTGAGATTTTTGACACCTGCCAAAGGAATGCCTTTGTGTTCAATTTAGCTCCAAACAGCCTATGGCTAAAGACCAGTTAGCAGCGGCTCCGTGACTAAAGTACTAGCAGAAAGGTTCCCAGCCTCGGGCAGGTAAACAGGTGAGTGCTTCTAAAAGGCAGAGAACATGTCTGTGCCTTTTCTCCAATGTCGTACGTTCAAAGCGTAAATTTGGCAATATGTGTTATGCCCCCTTCCAAAGACAGAGGTGAGGAAAATTTCAGCTGAGTCTTACCGAGTGATTATCAATGTCCTGTTAGCTGTATCTAAACACAAATGTTTGTTGCAAGAGTTACACTGACACTTAAATCCCTAAAAACCTCTGTTTTTCTTTAGTAAACAGTCTTTTCTTATGGGAAATTTCCAACATATACCTAAGTAGAGAAATCTTAGAATGGGCCCCTAAACCATATCTTCTTAAAGAAAAGAACAGAACACTTAGGAATGCTAAGAGGCAGCTGGTCAGTGGTGACAAGCTCCAGGACACCCAACTGAAGACCTGACTCAGAGGCAGAGCTCAAAGTTCCCCTCGCAGGGCCTGGCCGGGCTTGCCCAGCGCTGGCTCAGGTCTTCCTAGAGTGGCCAGGGCAGCTTTGAGAGAATCAGCTTTGCAGACTCCAGGGACCAATAAGGCAATACAGGTGTGTAAAGGTTTGTCCTTAGGTCAAGTTCTCGCTCGGAGGTCTGTTCCTAAGCATAGCAGAGTGAATGGAAACACTCATGATTGAGACAGAAAGGGAATAAACAGGACCAGACAAAAAGAAAACAGCTGATCAAGTACCTGCATGTTAAAGACTTCATCAGAGCTTTCTGATTGCCCTGTAATATTGCTTACTTCAGCAGACGCTTGTGAGGACAGTGAGGAGGAAGAGTATCGGTTGACAGCTGGGTAACTTAATGGGCTGTTTTCGGGGAGAAAAAGAAATGGCTGTTAACTTAGTCTCTACAGTGCACTTTATCACATGCTGGCATGGTATAAAAACCAAAGGGAAAAAAATACATACATCCCATTTTGTCGCCCCCCGTTTGCCTCAATGTGATCAAACATCTGAGTTTATTTCTCATGCTGTTGCTGTTTTACCAGCGGCAGATGTCTGCAGCCGCCTCTAGGGTTGCTTATTTCATTAAGAAACCGCGCATTTGACAAATTGTGCCATAAAGAACGAGACAATCGTTCCGCATCATCTTGTGGGAATGCCAAATTGTCAGATAATGTAGAATATGACTTACCTGCGTCGAGGAATTACCCTGGTACCATCTGGGCTCATGGAAGCAGGTGCTGAGTTTCTACACACACGAGGGCTTCCATTAGGAAAATGGACTGGACTGGCTTGTATACATGCGGAGAATTCCTAAAGAGGTAGTCAAGAAAATATTTCAGAATTGTAACGGTAAGGGCAGAATCACTCGAGAGGTGCTGTGTTGTACTAGATGTGCATTCTGATGGTCATAAAACCTTTATATAGGCACTTAGGAATGTAAGTTATTAAGCCTTCCCTCATTTACTTTTTTGTTTTCATGACAGTTAAGTGTGGTAAACCAAAGTTAATGCAATTTTAATATTTGAGGGCTCTCTGGTAAAATTTTGGTGCAGTTTGGCAGACAAACCAAAAGATGTCACTGTTGTATACTTCATGGTTCCTCTAACAAAAAGCAAATGGTAGAAGTCAGACTGCCCCCTGGCGGACCCTTTGTATACATACCTGAATCCCCAAGCTGGACTTCATCACAAAGAACTGGTCGACCAGCTTCTTGTGAAGGGGTCTCATATCCTGAGGCACAAACTTCTCGTGCACGGCCAAGCCAAATTCCAAAATCTGTGCCTTGAGAGTAATAGAAGGAAAAAATCCCCATCAGTGAGTACCGCCTTAAGTGCCTGCTGCGGATTCAAGCATGGTGCCCTGTGTTTTGCATGCATTACTGTTAACCTCCCCATCCCACAAGATAGGAGCAATCCTTAGTTTACTGCGGAGGACACTGAGGATCAGAAAATTCTGCACGTGCAGATGTAGCAAATGGACTGGTGGACACAGCTGGGGCAGGAAAGGGTGGGGTGGATTGACAGCGTAGCATTGACATACACTATAACGCCCTGTGTAAGACAGCTCGCTAGTGGGAAGTGCCGTATAAAATAGGGGGCTCAGCTCAGTGCTCTCAATGACCCAGAGGGCTGGGAGGGAGAATCCAGAGCGCGGGGACACATGTACACATATGGCAGATTCACGCCGTTGTACGGCAGAAACTAACACAACACTGTAAAGCAATTATACATAAATAAAAAAAAGAGAATTCTGCATGTACTAAAGGACAAATGGGAATCTGAACTTAAGTCTGATTCCAAGGACTTAACTGTCCTACTACCCCAAGTTTCTTTCCCATGTATTTTCAACCTGTAACAACAACCATATTTAACAGTTAAGCATCCCTTTGGCCTGTTCCTGCACTTCTCAGGAGGGGGCAAGGGATGCAGCTCCCTGTTAGGAGGGTCAGGTGGTTCTCCCTTAGTGATAAAGAACCTGCCTGCCAATGCAGGAGATGTAAGAGACGCAGGTTCAATCCCTGGGTCGGGACGATCCCCTGGAGGAGGGCAAGGCAATCCACTCCAGTAGTATTGCCTGGAGAATCCCATGGACCGAGGAGCCTGGCGGGCTGCAGTCCATGGGGTCACAAAGCATCGGACACGACTGAAGTGACTTAGCACACACCACGTGGTACTCCCCATGGGCCCTCTTTTCTGGCTGGCACGCTCTCAGCCACGTTACCCTTCTATCTCCCGTCAGTTCCTCTGTCCCTACCCCTCCCTCTCTCAGATTTTCAGAATCTGTCAGGGAGGAAGGAATGAGAGGATATTCTGTAACAGTTGCTATGCTTCCTGTTTTCGTTAAATCTTCTTCTCCTTTATAATGCAAAAAGGAACAGTTCCTATTTTCAAAAAAGGTTTCCTGCTCTGAGAACCTAAACTGAGATGAATGTAAACATTTAGTTTCCTTTGTACAGCTAGGTCAAAAGTGCTTAATCCCTTTGATGGGAGTAGAAGACATCTTTTACATTTTAAAAAATGCCCCATGCTACAGTGGTCAAAAGGACACATTTCAGAGGCTGAGAGGAAACCAAATCACACGTCACTACTAGACAGTCCTTTATCTTGACAGCCCGTGATGGTTCAAGTTTGAAAGCTTCAGGGCAGGCATGAGCGACTCTGGGGGGTGAGAGCATCCAGTACCTCCCTGAGGGTCAGAACGGTGGCAACTTTGCCTGTAATATTTGCATAAAGATGAAAAAACACCTTGAAATAAATGTCAAGTGCAGTATGTCTGAGGCCCAAGGGCAAGCCCGGGCTCTGTGGGCAGGGAGGGGGGCTGGAGGAGTCGAGTCCACGGGCAGGGCCCTTGGTCCTCTGCATCTGAGACTCTGGCTGCGAAGGGCCCGCCCTTTGGTCCAGGTAAGGCTGCAGGTGGGGTGCTCCCGGAGGCAGGCTTCGGCAATGGAGACTGGGCTGTTCACTGGGGAGTACCCCTGGGATCAGTGCCCATAGGAGGGAGGGGCAGAGCGGGACTGGACCGAATAGGAAACTGGACCTGCACGGCAGCCTGAAAGCCATTGCCGACCCCAGGGCAGCTAGGGGCCTTGAATGATTTCTTACAACTGCACTGTGTGTGCCCCAAATGGCCAGGCTGGGCCTCTCCTTCCCGGTTACCGGATGCAGGTCATCCAGGAAGGTAGGGACATTAGGCTAGGTGACACTGCAGCAGCGGCAATGCTGGAGGATCTGAAAGGCTAAGGTGTCTTCCAGCAGGCGGGGCCACAGGTCCTTTCTGGAAGGAGCCCTGGGGCTGTGCACCTCGGAGTCTACTAAACAGGTCTCTGAACCACTTCCCAGAGGACCATTGCTCTCCAGCCCTCCCAGCTTCCTACAGTCCTGCAAGGACATGTGACTTGCCCAAGGTCACAAGGCTATACGTGCACGACTTGATAGGATCTAATGCTTCCTAGGCCACAGCTCTTTCCACAGGGTCCCATGATGCAGACAAAACAAAGGTTCCTCAATCTTTTTCTTGGGAGACTTCTTCAGTCAGTTCAGTCGCTCAGTTGTGTTGGACTCTTTATGACCCCCTGAACTGCAGGATGCCAGACCTCCCTGTCCATCTCCAACTCCCAGAGCCTACTCAAACTCATGTCCATTGAGTCAGTGATGCCATCCAACCATCTCATCCTCTGTCGTCCCCTTCTCCTCCTGCCTTCAATTGTTTCCAGAATCGGGTCTTTTCAAATGAGTCAGCTCGTCACACCTGGTGGCCAAAGTTTTGGAGTTTTAGCCTCAGCATCAGTCCTTCCAATGAATATTCAGGACTGATTTCCTTTAGGATGGACTGGTTGGATCTCCTTGCAGTCCAAGAGACTCTCAACAGTCTTCTCCAACACCACAGCTCAAAAGCATCAATTTTTCAGCACTCAGCTTTCTTCACAGTCCAACTCTCACATCCATACATGACCACTGGAAAAACCATAGCTTTGACTAGACGGACCTATGTCGGCAAAGTAATGTCTCTGCATTTTAATATGCTGTCTAGGTTGGTCATAGCTTTTCTTCCAAGGAACAAGCGTCTTTTAATTTCATGGCTGGAGTCACCATCTGCAGTGATTTTGGAGCCCAAGAAAATAAAGTCTGCCACTATTTCCATTGTTTCCCCATCTATTTGCCATGAAGTGATGGGACCAGATGCCATGATCTTAGTTTTCTGAATGTTGAGCTTTAAGCCAACTTTTTCACTCTCCTCTTTCACTTTCATCAAGAGGCTCTTTAGTTCTTCTTCACTTTCTGCCATAAGGGTGGTGTCATCTGCATATCTGAGGTTATTGATATTTCTCCCGGCAATCTTGATTCCAGCTTGTGCTTCTTCCAGCCCAGCGTTTCTCATGATGTACTCTGCATATAAGTTAAATAAGCAGGGTGACAATATACAGCCTTAATGTATTCCTTTCCCGATTTGGAACTGGTCTATTTCATGTCCAGTTCTAGCTGTTGCTTCTTGACCAGCATACAGGTTTCTCAAGAGGCAGAGCAGGTGGTCTCATATTCTGATCTGTTTAAGAATTTTCCACAGTTTATTGTGATCCACACAGTCAAAGGCTTTGGCGTAGTCAATAAAGCAGAAGTAGATTTTTTCTGGAACTCCCTTGCTTTTTCAATGATCCAGTGGATGTTGGCAAGTTGATCTCTGGTTCCTCTGCCTTTTCTAAAACCAGCTTGAACATCTGGAAGTTCATGGTTCACGAATTGCTGAAGTCTGACTTGGAGAATTTTGAGCATTACTTTACTAGCATGTCAGATGAGTGCAACTGTGCAGTAGTTTGAGCATTGTTTGGCATTGTCTTTCTTAGGGATTGGAATGAAAACTGACCTTTTCCAGTCCTGAGGCCACTGCTGAGTTTTCCAAATTTGCTGGCATATTGAGAGGCTTTTTAGCCCTTTTGATTTTAACTTGAGGGAAAGAGTTCAGTCATACTGAATACAGCAGGTAAGAATCCTGGGGTGAGACAAACTGCTCACAAGAGAATTAAAAATCAACAAAGGCTAAAGGCATTCCATAATCCTAAGTACTCGATGACCTAAGCTGCTCATTTCATTTCAGGCAACATCATCATCCCCAGGGCCACAATGAGAATTTAACCTCTCCTCTTTTTCCTTTCAGGTTAAATTCAAGTAATCCCTCTTTTCCAGAAGCTGTCCAACTGACTTTTCCACCCACAGTCCTGGTCCATGGCCACTTCTCTCCCTTCAGTATCAATTTTGTGGACCAAGCCTACAGAGCATAAAATATGGACAAAAACCAGATACAGCCTCATAATATCCTAGTCCAATAGAACATGCTTTGTTTATTAATTTGGCATTATCAAATGGAAAGAGATGCTTCTGTCACATTTTGTCATACATATTCCATTTTTCATAGATATAAAAATGTTTCCTATTGATTTATTTCCTATTTAACCCAGCCTCTCACCATAATGTCTCCCACCTCAGAGGTTTTCAAACCATTTTCAGGCCAAGAGCTATCAACCGAGGAAGAGAAAGCAACAGGTTATTCACCCTGGTTCCTCATATTTGATGGAACCAAAGAAATAAAAGCCAACTGTGCTTCTGTAGAACTGAAAATGATGAGATGGTATGTAGATCTGTCTATGTCATATGATCTACAGGCTTTGTCTGTACAGCGTGATACTGTTTCAAAGCAAAGGGTATTACTGATTGCCCACTTCCTTAGTCTAACATTTAAGTATGAATCTCATTCATTCATTTACTGAATCATTCATGTTAAGTTGGCCTGAAGTTACATGATCCCAAAATCTTGAGTGAAAAGTTGGCAACAAGTCTTTGGGGACTGAGCATTCAAAGAACGTGCCAAGGGCTGACATGATGTTTGCTATAAGGGGCTGCCATAGTTTACTCATTTTTTTGTTTTCCCCCCTACATCCAAGTGGGAAGAAAAAGTAGAAATTAGCAAGTCAGGATATATGACAAGTGAATCTGTAAACTGTGACTGCTAGATCGCTGACATATGGGGCTGGCCAAAAGAGTTTGTTTTTCTGACACAGCTTATGGAACAACATGGACAAACTTTTTGGCCAACCCAGAGAAAACCAGGTAGATGGCACCCTGGGTAGGCAAGCACATGTGTGCATGGAAGAGGGAGAAGGTGATGGGCTTCTGCCCCTCTTACCTGCTCAAGCATCAGCTCTCTTAACCGTGCGATTTTCTCTCCATCTTCGGGGTGACTTAAGATATATTCCTTGACAAAGAATGCCTGGTAAGAAGAAGGGCAGTCAGGTTACTTCAAGAGGGTTACAAAGGAAGTGGAAGACACGCTTATTGTTTCTCAGGCTTCTTTAAAGAAATATCACTATTATACACCACTTTTGGGGGCTGGATGGAATGATTCAAAGTGTGGCAGCTGGTCAGAGGGAATACAAGGAGGTGATTGCTAACAGGCGATCAGAGACTGCATGAACTTTGTATGTATCTTTGGTAAAACAGCAAATCTAAATCCATAAGCTTTTATGACATCACGTTGTTGTTCATCATGTTCAGTCGTGTCCGACTCTGTGACCCCAAGGACTGCAGCACACCAGGCCTCCCTGTCCTTCACTGTCTCCCAGAGTTTGCCCAAGTTGTGCTAAAGAATGTTCAAACTACCGAACAATTGAGCTCACTTCCCATGCTAGTCAGGTTATGTTCAAAATCCTTTAAGCTAAGTTTCAGCAGTACTTGACTCGAGAACCTCCAGATTTACAAGCTGTGTTTAGGAAAGGAAGAGAAATCAGAGATCAGATTGCCAATATTTGTTGGATCATAGAGAAAGCAAGGGAATTCCAGAAAAACATCTGCTTATGACATGCTATCCTAAAATAAGCTGCCTAAAGACTCAGAATGATCAAGATGGTAGCCCCATCTTCCAAACAAGATTAGATTCTTTTATGTCCAAGGATCACTCTTTGCTTAGGGAAATGGGTTTAGGTAGCCATTTATTAAACAATTGTGATATCTTCACTACTTTTATTCAAGAAAACACACACATGCACATACTTTTAACCTCAAAATATCACACTCTGGGAAACAAAGTGTGCATCCCCAGTGATTATACATTTGCTCTATTAAGCAAAGAAATCTGGTTGTATTGATTGTAGCCCTATGTTAGCAGGCTGATGTATGTGCATATCTTGAAAAAAGACTTCTGAAACCTTAAAAAAATCACATATGAAAACTTTCATTTAACAATACCAAATCCTTACCTCTTGATACCTGGAAACTCCACCATTAACCGCAGCGTCTATAACTCCATTCAGGCACATGGTTAGGGGATTAATATTCTGCATCTGTCTTGTCTGACACTGACTAATCAGAGTCTTCAGCTGCTGATTCTTATTCTCCAGCACTTCAATAGCATTTTCCAGAGGACTCATTTCTACCTGAGAACAAATGAGCATAAATATATACTGGATTTTGTGACATTCAAGAAAAAAGACAAAGTAGATTATCCACATTCTGAATTATCTGTGCTCCCCTCAATATCTCTACTAGGGGCCATTGGTATAGAACAGACAAGGATATAGAAGACAAATTAGCTGTCTGTAAGGCCTGGGAAGAGAAGGTGATTATATTCACTGGCTGAAATGTGGTTCAAATAATCAGCAATCACTGATTATACATTAGCACTAAAACAATTTAATTCTTGAAACAAAATTCAAGCCTATGTATTTTACAATTTATTTCTTCTTTTCTTTTGAAGGCTAGGTGTTCAAGGACCCTGCATATTCTTAGCATCTTTCTAGATACTTAATGAGAAGTACCACAGGACATAACAAAATGCATTTACAGATCCTCTGATATCAAGGAGATTTCAGCCCAGTTGGGAAGATGGGACATATCCCCATATGGACCCCATATGCATATATAACAGCACCATAAGGTGGCACAGGATGGCACACAGTTTTGAGTTATAGAAAATAAGATAATCAGATATGCTGCAGGATCTATTTGTTCCAGGAGAGCCAAATAGAATCATAATGACTTTTCCACTCTGAGTTTTAATGGGAGACTCATTGTGAAAATGAAGAAACTGCTCTTCAAACGTACAGCATTGTGACCGTTACTGACATTGACCTACTCTTTGAAGAGAAGGTCTGCCAAGCTCTCATCTGTATAATAATCTAAGCTTAAGGATTATTAAGGAAGGGAAATTATTATTGGTTAAGGAAATAGTTTTTACAGGTCACCTGAATCATCTTAAACCAACACTGAAAAGTACTAGAATGATTTGACTATGTCAAAATTCAGAATGTACATTTATCAAAAGATATTATACAAGAGGACAGATAAACCAGAAAGTAGAAGATATTTGTAACGTAAAAATCACCAGTCTATGTCCAGAATATATAAAGAACTCTTATAAGCCATTAAGAGAAAGGCAAACAGCCCAATTAAATATGGACAAAAAACATAGCCATTTTATGAAGGAAGAAACCGAAATGACCAGTAGACATATGAAAAGTGTCAAAACTGCATTTTTGATCTAAGAAGTGAAAAATAATACCACACTGATATACTATTAAGCACTTACCAGAATGGCAAAATAAGTATGACAGTAGCAAATGAAGTAAGAATGTGAAGAACTGAATCTCTTAATTCCTGCTGTTGAATGTTCAAATCGGATCAATCACTTTGGGATTATTTATTAAAGATGAAGATATCTATATATTTTGTGAGCCAGTAATTCTACTCCTAGGCATATATCTGAGGAGAAGTGGAATAGAAGATCTGTATACATGTATACTAGGAAACATGTACAAAATATTCATACTCATCTCCAAAATCTGTACATCCACCAAGAAAAGAATGCATAAACATATTGTAGTATACAATGGAATACTATACAGCTATAAAAACAAGTCACATGTAATAACATGGACTAATATTGTAAATCATACTGACAGATGCAGTTACACTAGAATATACACAGAATTACATTATTGCACAGGTGTACCTCTTTTTACTGTACTTTGCTTTACTGTGCTTCACAGATACTATGTTTTTCCTAAATTGACACCCTCCATTGAGTAAGTCTATTGGAATCATTTTTTTCAACAGCATTTGCTCACTGCATGTTCTGTGTCACACTGGTAATTCTCACAATATTTTACGCTTTTTCATTATTATATTTGTCATGGTGAACTGTGATCAGTGGTCTTCGATGTTACTGTTATAACTGATGTGGCATTTTTTAGGAATAAAGTATTTTCACATTCTTGAAGGTATATACATTGTTTTTTTAGACAATGTTATTACATACTTAATACACTATAGTATAATGTGAACATCACTTTTATATTCACTGGGACATCAACTAATCCATGTGACTTGCTTTATTGTGGTAGTCTGAAACTGAACTTGCACCATCTCCAGGATATGCCTGTATAAAGTTTAAAACCACGTAAACTAAACTGACTTGTTCAAAGAGACATATATAGGTAATAAACAAAGCAAGAGAATGGGTACCATAAAAGTTATGATAAGGGAGGGAGTAGCAACTGAAAAATGAGGCACAAGAGGCCAGTAGGGTGCTATTGCCAGTATGCTGTTTCTTTACCTGAGTGGTGGTAAACAGGGTTTTATTTAATTATTTATGACATTAAACTTTTGTTTTGAGATCACAAAAGCTAACTCACAAAGAAGAAGTCTGAGAGTTCTGATGAACTGAAAGTTAAAAAGTCAATAAAACCTCTTGGAAACAGAAAGTAGAACAGTGGTTGCCAGATGCTGGGGGATGGGGGAAAAGGGAAATTGCTATTCAATGGATATTGCACAACAATGTGCATATAGTTAATACCATTGTATTATACATTTAAAAATGGTTATTATGGTGACTTGTAATTTTGATCACAATTTTTTAAAAATTTATGCTTACCCTTTAAATTAAATGTTAGTAATATGAAGAAATTTTACAAGTAAGCAAAATAAAATATAGTAAATACAGACAAAAGACAAATAATAACCTAGGAAAATATTTTCAACATATATTTCAGATGAATTATCAATATATCTCAAATACTGATGAAAACTATACAAAGAATATAATCAGTGCATTCACCAAAACTGAGTTAATATATGAAAACATACCATCTTCACTAGCACTCAACAAATGCCAAAAAAAGCCAACCCTACTGTGACCATTTTTGGCCTAATATCTGGAAATTTTAAAATAATATACAGCACCCTGTGTTGAAGAGAATGCTGGGAAAATGGTTATTCCCAAGAACAGTTACCTCCTCCAGACAGAGCATAAATTAATACATGCCATTGCTGACCCATGAGTCAATATTACTGATTATATGTTGGTGAAATTATTCTAAGGAGATGGTCAAAGAAGTACATAAAGAATAATGTGTAGAAATGTTTATCAATAAATTTTTTTCCATTGGTCCCAGATTGTGATCTTTAATTACTATCCACCACTGAAAAGAATCAGGATTCATAGGAGAAATGGTTGCTTTCAGGTCTGGGGCAAGATTGCACAGGTGGTCTGGACTACCCAGAGAGCAAGGAAGGCTTCATTAAAGCAGCTGGCCTGCGGTCAATTCACTCTCCTCACAGGAGGGATGTCCTTGGGGAACAGGAAAGAAAGCAGGTGACTGAGGTCTTATCTTCTTGTCAATTAAAGCTTCAATATAGATTAACTGCTAAGAGGAAGAGATGGTATCTATGGAATGCTCTTAGCAGGAAGTCCCCAGCTACAAGATTGCTTACAGTAAATAAACCCAGAGTCCCTCAGGCATGCTGCACTAGCGAATGTTCCAGAGAAGTCTGACAACTCTCTGGAGTATAAATTGGAATGATTTACAATTTAAATTTTATGATTCAAATGTGCCCTCTGTACGAGGAACTCTGTGAACTTCCCTTAGAGACTCTGCCTCCAGATCTGAATTATTAGTGATACGGAGACTCTGCCTCCAGATCTGAATTATTAGTGATACGGGAAAGAAGGATGTGGAGGACAAAACGAGGTCTCAGATATCTCTCTGCTTCATCCCAGCCTCTTGACTGCCTAAAAGTTGTTAGTAAAAGTTTGATGCTGATTCCTGCGCTTGATTTGACAACTGGCCTGTGTATTAGTTCAGTGACAAAGACAACTTGGATACTGTCAAAAGGACTGAGGAGCCAACCTGGAAATGCTTTCAATGGGCAAAATGGAACAATGTGAAAAGTAATGAGTAATAATGTGAAAAGTAATGAGTAATAATCGCAATTGTAATAATTGCAATTGAAACAAAACAAATATGTTTAAATCCATGATGCTAAACAAAACTAACAAAATAAAACCCTCTCTGGTCACATTTATAGGGTGTTGTGGGTGCTAAATCACTTCAGTCATATCCGACTGTCTATGACCCTATGGACTGTAGCCCACCAGGCTCCTCTGTCCATGGGATTCTCCAGGCAAGAATACTAGAGCGGGCTGCCATGCCCTCCTCCAGGGGATCTTCCTGATCCAGGGATTGAATCCACGTTTCTTATGCCCTCTGAATTGACAGGCAGGTTCTTAACCACTGGTGCCACCTGGGAAGCCCTTATAGGGTGTTAGGAAACCAAATTATTATTTTTAAAATTGGTAAATCAAAGGAAAGAAAAAAGTGTTAGACTTCCTTTCCTATACCTTAGGGTAATCAGATTGTCGATGAAGGGATGTTTCTCTATAGAAGTATTCTAATCAATAAATGAAGAAAGAATGATGAAATATCACCCTTTTGTAACCTCTAATAGATTCCTGGACAGGGGCAATGATCAGTGCTGCTTGCCAACCACAGCATATAACACATTCTGAGAAGTAGTCTTGCAAAAAATAAAAGACAAAAAACATTTTATCAAGCTTTTAGATATAGCTGTCAATTTACCAAAAAATGTACCAAATTTACCAAAAGAAACACACTAAATGATCTCACTGATTCATAGCCTGCAAAATACAGGCTCAAGGAAACACTTTAGGATAAACAACCTGATTTCTTCAACAAAAAAGCTGCAAGGAAAAAATAATTTGGGGGAACCTATAGATCAAATGAGATCTAGGAGGTATTTCTACCAATGTGAATGTGTGGCCCTTATCTGGATCCAGGTTCAAACAACAGATGACAAAAGCAAACAAAAACCTATAAAATGAAGAATTAGATAATTGTGAATAAATTGGATATTTTGTGATCAAGGAATTACTGTTAAAATTTTTAGATGGAAAACATAAACACAATAATGATATTGTGTGTACGTTTCTGATAAACATACAGACTGAAATATTCTTACATAGTGTCTAGGACTGACTTCCAAATAATCCAGTGTAGAAGGGAATGGAGGGAGGTGTAGATGACACAAAATCGGCCTTTTTGATAACTGTTGAAGTAAAATAATGGGTAACTAGGTTTATTATATCTTTTCTCTATTTTTATATGACATAACTTTAGTTTTAAAAAGGAGACTGGCTGCTGTGTACAGAGGTGTCTGCAGCAGGGGGAGGGGAGAAAGACAGAAGCAGATGACCTCTTAGGAGACTGCTTCAAAATCAGGCACTACATGTATGGAAAAAACCACCACGATACCCTAAAGTAATTAGCCTCCAATTAAAATAAATTATATGTTAAAAAGAAATCAGGCACTAGATGGCGCCATCAGAAGGGAGATGAGCAGGGCTCAGATGCTGGGTAATTTTGAAAGTACCTAGAGCCACACAACTTTCTGATGCATCTGATGCGAAGTATGATAACATTCTCAGCGGGTAAAGACTCCACCTGCAGTGCAGGAGACACAGGAGGTGGGTTTAATCCCTAGTGGGGAAGACCCCTTGGTGCAGGAAAATGACAACCCATTCCCGTATTCTTGAAAAATCCCAAGGACAGAGGAGCCTGGAGGGCCACAGTCCGTGAGGTCACAGTCAGATACAACTGAGCGACTAAGCACACACGTGATAATATTGGGGCTTCCCAGGTGGCACCAGTGGTAAGGAACCCTCCTGTCAGTGCAGGAGTCACAGGAGATGCAAGTTTGATCCCTGGGTCGGGAAGATCCCCTGGAGGAGAGCATGGCAACCTATTCCAGTATTCTTGCCTGGAGAATCCCATGGACAGAAGAGCCTGCAGGTTATAGTATACAGGACCACAAAGAGTCAGATACGACTGAAGCGACTTAGCATAGCACACAGCACATGAGAATACTGTCATTATCTTTAAGGCTTAAAAATATCATTATCTGTACATTCTATTTTATAGCTTTTTCACCATGTTTAAAATGTTTTAAATAAGCTTATTTTTAATAAAAAATATTTTGTTTTAAAAACAATTACTGAGGAAACAGTAGTTCAAAGAGGCTTAACATCTTTGAAAGAATGGGATAATATGTTCAATAATGTTCTGGGGTCATGATTTAGAGAATAAAGGCCCATTATCTCATCTGAAATCTTTGCTGCCAGATGTTTCAGAACTCAGAATTTTTCTGAGTTCTTCAGAAAGGTAACATAGGGCACCTACAGTATATTACACCATCCTCAGGCAGGGTCTGAAGAAGTTTCCTTTAATCAAATGTGTTAATATTTCTGTAGTAAAGTATATGAGTAGTCATACTAAGTGAGATAAAGATCATAAATGGTCTTAGATTGGGTTAGATGTATTCACAACTGAATTTTGGAGCCAAACTTATAAAAACATCTTTTGGTACTCAGAATCTTTTAGAGTTTGGTAAGGTCCAAAAGGAATTTCAATTTAGTGTGGCACATACGTCTTGAGTGCCCCAATCATCAGGACCTTCTACACTGGCAGTTAAAGCAGGAAACCAACAACACTAATAGAAGATGGGGATATGCCAGGCAGCGGGGATAAGAGAAAGACACGAGGTTGTCACAAGTGGGTAGGGCCCAGTTGGATTTGTTCTGTTTGATAGTGTAAGACTGCATATCCTAATAAAGTAGGCAGCTGCTATTTGAAAGGCTGTGTTTAGTAACTCTCCCTTAATCACTATCAGCATGCTGCTTTTTATTAGCAGGCTGTGTGTGTGTGTATAATACTTCTAAGGTTAGGAACACTGGGAGACTTCACAGAATTTGCTGCTCTGGGTAGCAAGTAGCTGACAAGGCTCTCGGAAGCATCAACGCAGCAAGGATGACTAAGAACATTGCTGTGGTTTGGGCCCGTGCCGTTCAGCAGGCAGCGACACTTTTAAGACTTCCTGAGTGCTGGGCTCAGCAGCCTCTTCCACAGGAGGCCACGGGGTCCACCATGGAAGCAGCCAGCTCTGGACCCTTGATTCAGACTCGACAAGCACACACACACACTGGTGTAATCTGCCGGATGGAGTGCAGTTTGTGAAGAGAGCTGTATGAATTTTTTAGCCTTGCAAAATGAAAATGCCGTTAAATCCCTAGCGTGATTGAACAGAATAAGCTGAGGGTGGTGTCGATGCTTAGAGAGACTGCAGGCAGGACAAGCCATTCTTGGAAGACAATTTAGGTGGGCTCTGCTCTTATGGATTCATTGACAGAGGGGTTTGTTACCTATAAAAGGAAGGGGCTACATTACATTTTCACGATTGGCACATTTTTCCATCAGGACTGTGGCAAAGGGCTGGCCCCTGACATAATGGATATGCCAAGGGTGGGAGGGGGGGTTCTTGGGGGTATAGGTCTGTGGCTGACAGCAAGGGGCTGGGGCCTTGATAACTGCTGGGGACGGGTTCTCACCCCATGACTGCCCTCCACAAACGCTGTCTCCCTTCCCACAGCACGGGGCATGTTTTACAACCAAAGGCTCCTCAGTTCTGCAAGGAGACCCAACCAGTCCCTCCTAAAGGAAATCAGTCCTAAATATTCATTGGAAGGACTGATGTCGAAGCTGAAACTCCAATAGTTTGGCCACCTGATGCGAAGAAGTGACTCATTAGAAAAGACCCTGATGCTGGGAAAGATTGAGGGCAGGAGGAGAAGGGGAAGACAGGATGAGATGGTTGGATGGCATCACTGACTCAACGGACATGAGTTTGAGTAAACTCTGGGAGTTGGTGATGGACAGGGAGGCCTGGCGTGCTGCAGCCATGGGCTCGCAAAGCGTCAGACACGACTGAGCGACTGAACTGAACTGGACTGCACTTTGGTTGCTGTGATTCCCACATTCTCAGTGATACCCGCTGATTGCTCCATTGGAGCTCAGGGAGAACAGCGCAGCGGCATCCTTCTCCTGTGAACTGTCACCGCACGGACCTACTGTGTGTCAGATACTGTGCTGGGCTTGACACTGGCCTCTCACTGCTTATAAGGCTAGAAGAAATAAACATACCTGGCTTTGGAGTCAGAAAAATCTGGGTTTGAGTTTATCCTTTTTCAGTATCTTGCTACGGGATCTGTGGCAAAGGCTTTTAACCTCTTGTCAAAACTTATGAAAAGAGAGGTAAGAATATGTACCTTGGACATGGAGAAATGAGAACCACAGCACACTGTTGGTGGGAATGTAAATTGGTTCACCTTAGAAAATAGGATGGAAGTTCCTCAAAAACTAAAAACAGAATTACCATATAATCCAGCAATCCTATTCCTGGCTATACAGCGAAAAAAAAAAAAAAAAGAAAATACGAATTCAAAAAGATACACGCACCTCAGTGTTCAAGCAGCATTGTGTACAAACAGCTAAGATATGCAAACAACCCAAATGTCCACCCACAGATGAATGGACAGAGAAGATAGAGGCGATGTATATAATTGCATATATATACACACACATACACACAATGGAATAGTACTCAGCCATAGAAAAGAATTAAATCTGCAACAATGTAGATGAACCTAGAGGGTATTATACTTAGTGAAATAAGTCAAAGAAAGATAAACACTCTTATCACTTACATGTGAAATCTGAAAATAAAGAAATGCAAATAACAAAACAAAAATGCATACATACCTTATAGCTTCGACATGGTGATTAAATAAGATAATGTAGATAACTTTCTTCCACTGAAGATAAACAGTGACGGTCTCATAGCTAGAGTGGTTAGGGGAGCTGGAATTTCAGTTTCTCTAACTCAGGGCCTGAGGTGTTGACACACTGCCGTCAGAGCTATTTTGCAGGGATCACTCAGACCGGCTGGGCTGGGCCAATGCGTCCCCTTCCAGCTTTCATCATAGCAGTCAACATCACAAACATTCACTAGCTTACTATGAGTGTTTCCAGGGACTTGGAGTCCAAAGCAGAAGAGTGAATACATGGCCTGACTCCAGGTGAACAACTGTGCTGAGCAAGTATTCAATACTTGAGAATAAGCTCTGATCCTTACCACTTCACGCTTCTCCACTTCAAACCAGCGAGAAATTCCAGGTAAACTCTGCACCAAGTATAGTGATGTTCTTTCCACCCAGAGACTCTATGAAATACAAAACAAATTAAGTCCCCAAGTTATCTTCTTTCCAGTTACTGAGCAATGACTAATGTTTGCCGTTCAATTTTACCAAGTTCTCAGTCTTTGTCAGCTTTTCTTTAGTATTCATTTCAGTGCTTCAGCAACCTCCTTGCACTCAGGAAGCTATCTCAGTAAGATATGCTGAAGCTTACGTTAATTTCATTGTATATAATCTGAAACTTTCTTTTTGTGCAGAATACATGATCTACTTCAGACAGTAACCTTAAAAATGTAAAAACAGGTCATCACATTCTTTCCTTTTTCTCTAAATTTCCAATTTTAAGTTTCTCAACTCCTCAAGGGGGTCTAGCCATTTTTACTTGGAGTGGGATACAGTATCAGCTAATCGTCATGAGATTAGAATAACAGAATCCTCAAGGAGGAATGGGCTTTAGGGATCTCATAGCCTAATCTTTCTGTATTAAAGATGACAGACACCAGCCCTCCAAAAGCCATGTGTACTGTGCTGTGCTTAGTCGTGTCTGACTCTCTGTGACCCCATGGGCTGTAGCCCATCAGGCACCTCTGTCCACGGGGATTCTCCAGGCAAGAATACTGCAGTGGGTAGCCTATTCCTTCTCCAAGGGATCTTCCCGACACAGGAATTGAACCAGGGTCTCCTGCATTACAGGCAGATTCTTAACCAGCTGAGCTGCCAGGGAAGCCCAAGAGGCATGTGACCTGCTCAAAGCAATATCCTCATCATCTGTACTGCCAGCCCCAGGACCCCTGCATGAGAACGCCTGACTGCCACATGGCTCCAGTTACTGGGCCATCTGCACCGCTATGATCCAGGAAGACCCGTACTTAGAGCTGGGCCCCCCTCTGGCCAGGATGAGCACCCCCATGACACATGCAATCACAGGTGCCTTTGGTAAGAGCTGCTGTTGACAACGGGTCTCTCTTTTCCACAGGCTTCTGCATTTCCACCTCATGTTTCCTGGTTAAACAAAGCGCATTCCCACGTGTAGTAAGCCTGACAAAGTTCCTGAAACACTGCCATTTACTCAACAACAACAACAAATCGAAGGATTTCTTTGTGCCAGCCAAGATCTAATGAGACGAATATGGCAGCAGCCCTGTGACAGGAGGCCAGAGCGCTCTGCTGGTGATGAGGGGCAAAGCAGATCAAGAAGGGCTCAGGGGGCTTCCCTGGCGTCTCAGTGGAAAAGAATCCACCTGCCAATGCAGGAGACATAGGCTTGATCCCTGATCCGGGAAGATGCCACATGCTGAAGAGCAACTAATCACATGTGCAACAACTATTGAGCCTGTGTTCTAGAGCTGGGGAACCACAACTACTGAGCCCACACGCCCGAGAGGGTGCTCTGAACAAGAGCAGCCACCACAGTGAGAAGCCCGAGCCCCCGTCTGCTGCAACTAGAGAAAAGCCTGAGTATTAACGAAGACCCAGCACAGATTTAAAAAAACAGAAGGCTCAGGGAGAAGAGAGAGGAACAGCCCAGGTGCTGGGAACCCAGGAGGGAGCAGCACACGAGGCAGCCTGTGGGAGGAGGACCGTGCTTCACTGGGGAGGTGACACGTGAGCGGAATTTTGAAGAGTGAGTAGGAGTTTGCCAGGCGGAGAGCGGGGGAAGCAGCGCAGGCAGCAGGAAGCAGAGACGCTAGCGGCTTGTGAAAGGGCATGGCAGGAGATGGAGGGAGAGCTCCGCGCTGCCAGAGCTGAGAGTGGGTGAGTGGGCTGCAGCAGAGATGAGGCTTCTGGAAGGGCAGTTTGGAGCCTGATGCTGAGGGCTGTGAGCACAGGAAAAAGCAGCCAGATTTATTATTTTTTTTAAGGAGGGTTGCTACACCATTGATAAATATTTAAAGTGATAGCCAAAAGGAAATGTGGCGCAGCAGAAAAAGCAATGGAGAAGGCATCAGAAGATGGACATTCCAGTGCAGGGTCTGGGGTGGTGAGCATGCCATTCTGAGCAAGTCACCTGCCTGATTCTGGGGGACCTTGGACTTTTTACCTACTGGAAACTTGCAGTGAAAACTATATTATACACTAATGATCTTTAATCAGTTTGGCAAGGCAGAAAGAAAAATTATCCAGAGGGATTAGAAAATGGTCATGGATCTTTTCAGTAACATCGTAGTGTTATTTTCCAGTGGTTTCCTGGCCTTGATGTTTAACCCATCAACGTCCTTGCCCAAAGGACCGTGCTTTGCTCAGTCTCATCATAACACTGCAAAACTATCCAGCTTTCTCTCTGATCACTTGCTTGTGAGCAATTCTGGAGTTACTGTGAGGAGTACTGAAACTTGGGCAGGAGTGACAGGCGAGTTCACATCAGACAATCATAGCTGATAATGTTAGAAGAACATTTTCCAGCTTCTCTGATGGCTCACTTGGTAAAGAATCCACCTGCAATGCAGGAAACCCTGGTTTGATTTCAGAGTCAGGAAGATCCTCTGGAGAAGGGATAGGCTACCCACTCCAGTATTGTTGGGTTTTCCTGGTGGCTCAGCTGGTAAAGAATCCGCCTGCAATGCGGGAGACCTGGGTTCAATCCCTGGGTTGGGAAGATCCCCTGGAAAAGGGAAAGACTACCCACTCTAGTATTCTGGCCTGGAGAATTCCATGGACTGTATAGTCCATGGGGTTGCAAAGAGTCAGACATGCTGAGCGACTTTCACTTCACTGCGATGAAAGAAGCTAAGCCAAGTCACCCAGGATCCTAGGTTCATTTTACATTTTTTTGCTTAGGGGCAGATACTGGGGATCTGTATGGTCTCATTTTGTCACTGTTATCAAGGAAAGGGCAGATTATAATTTATGTGTGGAACAATTTCATCCCTTTCCCCCAGTAGGGCTTGCCTACTGAGAAACCTTGCCCTTTCTGGCTGAGAGAGAACTAGCAAGGCTTATCAGAACTGAGGATGGAAAACTCAACCCATGCAAAGAATCTATGGTTGGTCCTCTCAGAAGTCTGAGTTACACATCATTCTATTAAGAAAAAGCAGCAAAAGACAGCACAGTCTCTCTCACTGGGCCAGGAGCCCCCCAGTGGTTCTATCTCAGAATCAGCTGTTCCTTCAGTATCCTTCACTCATGGCAGTCTCCTGTATCGGAGATTAAATACCTGAGGTTCCCACAGTTAGTTCAACATGAACGAATGGTGGACTGAGCTGAACCCCGAGATCTCGAAAACTGGACAGAGGACCACTGCCATTAGAATCATCATAAACTTTGGGGCCTCCTCTGTGACCCAATGAGTCAGAATTTCCAGGCCAAGAAATCTGCTTGGTTAGAAAACACCCCCTGTCACCCTGATACATGGTAGAATTTAAGAATAATTAGACCACCTTCTAGTTTTATCACCTGACTGTATCTTGAGTAAATATTTAACAAGCATCTTGATAAAAAAAAAAGCTCTCAGTCTATTTGAGGAAACCATGTGTCACAGGAATTGCTCAGTACCTTGAATTCATTCTCTTTATCTTTCGTGCCTTTGTGAAACGGTCTGTCGTAGCGGAATTTCCAGATGTGATTCACTTTATAGAAACTTTTGATGTTGTCTGGGACACCTTCTCTCTGAAGGACCTCCTGGCTCTCTGGGATGGGAGTCACGGCGTATATCTGCAAATCTAGGATTCAAGAGTCAAGGAGGGAACCTGATTTGGCAGACTCTCTGGGGCGTCTGCTCAACCTGAGCTATGGCAGAAAGAAAGGGATGGCGAACAATTGAGTGTTTCTATTGGGGTAAAGCCAAAACTGCCAAGAAGGTACCAAGAACTCAGTTCATAGCAAATCACTTCTCAAACTATAAGCCTTAAAATAGCTTCACATAGGTCATTCTGACAAAGTATCAGTTTGAAATTTCTATGTCCTGTGAATTCATTTATCACAGATTTTTTTGGGGGTGGGGGTGGGTTTGAATGGCTTGGATCCTAGGTACTAAGGATTGAATTCATTTTAACCCTTGTTTATGAGGCTCTGATCTTTAGTGCATGTATGGTCCTTTTAAAATGTGTTTGTTTGTAAAATAATATAAATACCTATGCAACCAAAGACAGCAACCAGTACTGATAGTAACTCATATATTCCCTGTCTCTAGCCTTTGCACATTTGAGGTATCCACTCTCCCAAACCTTGTATTGATAAGCTGAGTGTTTAGCTATAGTTGGTATTTTTGAAAACTATATTAAAGGGGTATTATATTTACTTATACATTTACCATCTTTTCTTCTCATTCAAAGAAAGATGGCAAAATCTTTTCCCTTAAGTAATTGCTTGCTTCTGGTACATTTAAGTTTCTACTTTGGAATGGTATCCGTAATTTTCAGGGGGGAATTTCTGATCTTCTTTAAGATTGCCAATTTCAGGAAGAGAGACAACAATTCACAAAGGAGTGCTGGGGCGAATTCCCTTTGTCTCTAATGCCTCTGTAATTTCAGTTGAGCTGTTTATGTTTGCACAAATGGGAGTGTCAACTACACGACAATTGTTAAATGCTGTCTGGAATGCCATGGCTGAGTCCCTGAACCTCTTCCCTTTCATTCAGAATAAAAATATTAAGGGAAAAGTGGGTAAGTGATATATGCCAGTAAACATAATGCTATCATTTCCTTGAACTGAAGTAGTTTCTATAGAGTGTATGTGAGTATGTGTGTGCACACACGTGCACGCATGCATCCATGCACACTCAGTTGTGTCTGGCTCTTTGAGACTCCATGGACTGTAACCCAACAGGCTCCTCTGTCCACGAAATTCCTTGGGCAAGAATATTTGAGTGGGTTGCCATTTCCTTCTCCAGGGGATCTTCCCAATGCAGGGATCAAACCAAGTCTCATGCAGTGGCGGATGGGTTCTTTACCAATGAGCCACCTGGGAAGCCCATTTCTACAGGGGATGCCAGAGCAAAATTATTCTAGGGGAAATCCCTAAAAAGGAGCTTTAAAAGCAGGGTTGAGATATAGAAAAGCTGCAACTAAAAGGAAAAAAGAATTCTCTTAACAGAATCCTTAAGGGATTTCTTTTCAACTGACATTATGAGAATATCTAGCATAATTCTGTTTGGAAGGAGCTAAGCTAAAATTAAGATGATGAGAAAGAAGGAGAGTGAAACAGGGCTATTGACAAGGGGCCAGTGCCTGAAGCACCTGCACAGAAACACTGCAGCCAAAGGCCAGTGGGACCTAGTCAGAATCCGGCCTTTCTAGGTGTGGATACACTGAGCTTCTGCCTGGAAGATGGTCTCATCGGGTTGGTTGGCATGCTGCATGGCGATGGCGTGGGGGAACTCGTTCAGCATTCTCTGCTGGAAGGCCTCCAGTCTTTCGTAGTCATGCCCTCGACACACAAACTCTTTATTCTGGAGGTAAAATCAGAAAAAGAAACATTAGGACTATGTAATTGAGTGCAATCACTACAGAGAGAAGCCAAAATATGCAACACTGGCAGTGACTAAGTATAGGCCCAACATCAATAGAATATAACCGAAAAAAGCACACTGGAACAGTCTAGAGAATTTGTCCGAATATTAAAAATACAGGGCAAAGGTCATAAGCATCACCAGGTTCACCTGCTTGAGGTGCAAAAGGGTGTCTGGTTCTCAGAACACCAAAGTACAAAACAAAGCAATCGTGTTCCCTCCAAATGTTAGTGAACACATGTTACAGACTATTTTAAAAACTGTATGACAAAGTTAAGCAGGCAAATTCTCAATTTTGAAGAAAGTGAAGTAACTGCAATCCCTAAAAATACATTTTATGCATCCTTTCTATAAAGGTCACAGAGATTGGCCTTAACCCTTTCACTCTGAGATCCTTCCATGGAGAGGAAGGCCAAGCCGCCTGCATGCCAGCTCTCAGCAGGGCTGCTCCTGCAAGCATCCTGGCCATCCCTGACTCCACTCAGCGTCCTGTAGCCAGAACCTCTGCTAACTGACTGAAGCCAAGATTGGGGACGTTTAAGGTCTTGCTAAATGTTGGACAAATCTTTGTCTGTTTCCGTTTTGTTTTTACAATACATATAAATATTCTGTTAGGACTCTCTCATTCAGCTAAGAAAGGTGAAGTTTATCCTTGATGGAGGCCACAGAGCTGGCAGGATGGGGACCTTCTCAACAAGTACCTTCATGATCTGGTTATCGATATGGAACAACACTTACTGACAGTTTAAAGTGAAAGTATTAGTCGCTCAGTCACGTCCTACTCTTTGAGACCCCATGGACCATAGCCCGCCAGCCTCCTGTATCCATGGAATTCTTCAGGTGAGACTACAGAAATGGGTAGCCATTCCCTTACCAGGGGGTATTCCCGGCCCAGGGATCAAACCCAAATCCAGTGCAGGCGGATTCTTGACGGTCGTGACCCACCAGGGAAGTTTAATGACAGTCTAATGATAATGAAATTATAATCGTTAAGCACAGCCAGCACATACCATATTTAACCCAAAGAAACTTGAGAGGGTGTCCCCCACCCCCATTTTGTAGCTTGGAGCTGAGGATCAAGATCATTACATACTTTGTCCACATGTATGAGATTTAAGCTCAGGTCTGAGTCCAAGGCCTTAGCTCCCTCTGTTCCAAACATGGCCTGGTACATGGAAAAACTCCTAAGAGCTACGGAGACCAAGAAAGACTGTGGGATAAGATGCCCTGAAGATCTTTAAGGAGTAAAGTGCTTCGTGGTCTGGGGAGTTAAGGCCCAAAGATCTCAGCAGTTCTCAGCTCTGGGAGGTTTCTGTGATTGCACCAAATGCACAGAGGAAGTACTCTGGGCCAGAGTGAGGAAGTCAGAAACCACTCTGGGAAAGGGGCTCAGGGTTGCAGCTGAGAAAAAGCAGCTGCAGGCAGAGGAACCAACAGAAGTGAGCTCTGAGAACCTGCTACAATGCCTGACAAGCCACTCAATAAACCAATAAACCCTTGAGAAACACAAGCTAAGACAGACTCCTTAGGAATCAGGATTGCCCTCCCCACAAATAATCCTATATTTAAAATTTCTTGATTGAAGTCATACCTTCTGATGATGTGTTATTTTGCTCAAAAGATATTCGACAAGGACCTACTGTATAGCAAAGGGAACTCTACTCACGACTCTGTAATAACCTATATGAGAAGAAAATCTAAAAAATAATAGATACATGTATCAGTTCTCAGTCGCTCAGTCGTGTCTGACTCTGCGACCCCATGGACTGCAGCACGCCAGGCCTCCCTGTCCATCACCAATTCCCAGAGTTTACTCAAACTCATATCCGTTGAGTCAGTGATGCCATCCAACCATCTCATCCTGTCTTCCCCTTCTCCTCCTGCCCTCAATCTTTCCCAGCATCAGAGTCTTTTCAAAAGAGTCAGCTCTTTACATAAGGTGGCCAAAGTATTGGAGTTTCAGCTTCAACATCAGTCCTTACAATGAACACCCAGGACTGATCTTCAGGATGGACTGGTTGGATCTCCTTGCAGTCCAAGGGACTCTCAAGAGTCTTCCCCAACACTACAGTTCAAAAGCATCAATTCTTCAGTGCTCAGCTTTCTTTATAGTCCAACTCTCACATCCATACATGACTACTGGAAAAACCATAGCCTTGACTAGATGGACCTTTGTTGGCAAAGTAATGTCTCTGCTTTTTAATATGCTGTCTAGGTTGGTCATAACTTTCCTTCCAAGGAGTAAGCGTCTTTTAATTTCATGGCTGCAATCACCATCTGCAGTGATTTTGGAGCCCAAAAAAATAAAGTCTGACACTGTTTCCACTGTTTCCCCATCTATTTCCCATGAAGTGATGGGACCAGATGCCATGATCTTAGTTTTCTGAATGTTGAGCTTTAAGCCAACTTTTTCACTCTCCTCTTTCACTTTCATCAAGAGGCTCTTTAGTTCTTCTTCACTTTCTGCCATAAGGGTGGTGTCATCTGCATATCTGAGGTTATTGATATTTCTCCCGGCAATCTTGATTCCAGCTTGTGCTTCTTCCAGCCCAGCGTTTCTCATGATGTACTCTGCATATAAGTTAAATAAGCAGGGTGACAATATACAGCCTTGACATACTCCTTTTCCTATTTGGAACCAGTCTGTTGTTCCATGTCCAGTTCTAACTGTTGCTCTCTGACCTGCATACAGGTTTCTCAAGAGGCAGGTCAGGTGGTCTGGTATTCCCATCTCTTTCAGAATTTTTCAGTTTATTGTGATCCACACAGTCAAAGGCTTTGGCATAGTCAATAAAGCAGAAGTAGATGTTTTTCTGGAACTCTCATACGTTTTTTGATGACCCAGCAGATGTTGGCAATTTGATCTCTGGTTCTTCTGCCTTTTCTAAAACCAACTTGAACATCTGGAAGTTCTCGGTTCATGTATTGCTGAAGCCTGGCTTGAAGAATTTTGAGCATTACTTTACTAGCGTGTGAGATGGGTGCAACTGTGCAGTAGTTTGAGCATTCTTTGGCATTGTCTTTCTTAGGGATTGGAATGAAAACTGACCTTTTCCAGTCCTGTGGCCGCTGCTGAATTTTCCAAATTTGCTGGCATATTGAGTGCAGCACTTTCACAGCATCATCTTTTATTTTATTTATTTATTTTATTGTGGTGGTTTTTGCCATACATTCACATGAACCAGCCATGGGTACACATGTATTCCCCACCATGAACCTCCCTCCCACCTCCCTTTTGAAATAGCTCAGCTGGAATTCTCTCACCTCTACTAGTTTTGTTCATAGTGATGCTTCTTAAGGCCCACTTGACTTTGCATTCCAGAATGTCTGGCTATAGGTGAGTGATCACACCATTGTGATTATCTGGGTTGTGTAGATCTTTTTTGCATAGTTCTTCTGTGTATTCTAGCCACCTCTTCTTAATGTCTTCTGGTTCTGTTAGGCCCATACCATTTCTTTCCTTTATTGTGCCCATCTTTGCATGAAATGTTCCCCTGGTATCTCTAATTTTCTTGAAAAGATCTCTAGTCTTTCCCATTCCATTGTTTTCCTCTATTTGCATTGATCATTGAGGAAGGCTTTCTTATCTCTCCTTGCTATTCTTTGGAACTCGGCATTCAAATGGGTTTATCTTTCCTTTTCTCCTTTGCCTTTCACTTCTCTTCTTTTCTCAGCTATTTGTAAGGCCTCCTCAGACAACATCTTGCTTTTTTGCATTTCTTTTCTTGGGGCTGGTCTTGATCACTGCCAATGACTGTGGTCATTGATCACAATGTCAGGAACCTCTGTCCACAGTTCTTCAGGCACTCTTGTCTATCAGATCTAATCCCTTAAATCTATTTCTCACTTCCATTGTATAACCTAAGGGATTTGATTTAGGTCATACCTGAATGGTCTAGTGGTTTTCCCTACTTTCTTCAATATAAGTCTGAATTTGGCAATAAGGAGTCATGATCTGAGCCACAGATACATGTATACATGTAACTGAATTGCTTTGCTGTATGCCTGAAACTAACACAACATTGTAAATCAACTATACTCAGTATAAAATGAAAAAATTTAAATATAATAAATTTGCTTGATAAAATAAGATAATACATATCTTCTTGCATATTACTGAAGTCCCCAAATAAGTACCTGAAAACTGAAACAGTTCTAAAGCAATGCTCATCCGTCACAACAGTTTGTAAAATCAGGGGAATGCCTCTAAGTATAAGGTCATTCAAAGGTAGTAAGAAATCATTTTGGAATAAACATAAATTTGGGGCCTGATATTTGAGTTATGGAGAAATAAAAAGGAGTTAAGCTTTCTTTCCATCAATTATTTTTTAAAACCACAGTTTTGAGATATAGTTCACAAGCCATAAAATTTACCCTTTTATAGTATGCGATTCAGTTGTTTTTGGTATATTCACAGAGTTGTGCAACTATCAGCATTATGTAATTTCAGATTATTTGCATTACTGCAAAAAGAAATTTGTACCCATTAGCAGTCATTCCCCAACTCCCCCTCCCCTTGGCACCTGGCAGCCACTAATCTACTTTCGGTTTCCATGGATTTACCTAGTCTGTACATTTCATATAAATGGAAATACATAACATGTGACCTTTTGTAACTGGCTTCTTTCACTTAACATAATATTATCAAGGTTCACCCATTTTGTAGCGTTATCAGTACTTCATTCTTTTCTTATTGCTGAATATTCCATTGTATAGCTATACCATATTTTATGTATCCATTCATCAGTGGATGGACATTTGGACTGTTTCTACTTTTAGGCAATTGAGAATGATGCTGCTGTGAATACTCATGTACATGTCTTTGTGTGGCTCTGGATGCTGGGAAAGATTGAGGGCAAGAGGAGAAGGGGGCAACAGACAGTGAGATGGTTGTATGACATCATTGACTCCACAGACATGAGTTTGAACAAACTTCAGGAGTCGGTGAAGGACAGGGAAGCATAGCATGCTGCAGTCCATGGGGTCACAAACAGTTGGACAGGACTTAGTGACTGAACAACAATAATTTGTTAATAATTAATTTTTAAAATTGTCTTTCTTTAAAAAGGAAATATATACCTATGGGATAAAAAATTCCCAAATAGTATAAGCATACAATACAAAGTAAGTATCTTTCCCATCCTTGATCTCAGTCATCCTCCTCAGACAAATCACTATTCAAAGATTTTATGCATTTAAACACTGTCAATAAAGAACTCATTTTCCACGAGGGTTAAAAAAAAGCTACCTCAATCACACAAACATATTAATTTATTTGAGCTTTAAAAATTATCAGGAAATGGATCACACAATGAAAGGAAATTTTTAAAGTTGATATTTGTTTTTAAATCAAAGAACAGACTAGATAGAACCTGACTTCTTAAAAAGTCTAGTCCCGTGATTCCAAAGGGTGCAGTGCCATTTAGAAACCAATAGAGGGTGACACTTCTCTTTCATTTAGAAGGAAATGCCATTTATTTCTAGAAAAGCTGTTTTCAAAAGAAAGATGATATATTGATCTATTCCAATTGATATATTAACAGAATTCATTTTATTAACTGATATGTCTCCTAATTTGCCAGATTTCCTTTAAAATTATGGCTCCTAAACTACTTCTGACCTTTAAAAATCTTCACTTTTAATTAACACTAATCACATATACACAATAGAGATCTATGGTACTTTATAATATACTTGTTAGCTGAATTCAGAATTTGGTCAGGGCTACAATACAACTTTTATGGGCTGCTTTCTCTATTAAAAATATTAAAAATCTTACTGTATGACTCATTTGGTATAAAGACAAATATATCAATAACAACCTAATGTACAATATACACTATTAAATAACAATCTAGTGTATAGTATACACTATGGGATTCCCTGATTGCTCAACAGATAAAGAATCTGTCTGCAATGCAGGAGATGCAGGTTCAATCTCTGGATTGAGAAGATCTCCTGGAGGAGGAAATGGCAACCTACTGCAGTATTCTTGCCTGGAAAATTCCATGGACAGAGGTGTCTGGCAGGCAGTCCATGGGGTTGCAAACAGTTGGGCATGACAGTGTGCACTCACACCCATAATATACACTATAATATATATTTTAACATTTTCTTTAACCTGAAAGTTCACTGTTTTCTTCTGATTTTTAAAAGAAAACAGTTTTATGAACCATCTACGAATATTATGGTCCCTAAGCACTGTACCTACTCTCTGTATAATGGATCAGGTAGCGCTGAGTATGATATGGAAAAAAGCAGAATCATTGCATTATTTTGAGCCAAGAGAAGAAGGGGTGGTCTGCAGCATAAGAATCATGTCTTGGCCCTACTGTGGGGTCTCCAGCCCTCTGTGCTGCTCACAGCTCCAGAATGTCCCTCCTTCCCCTTAGAACTTGGACCCAGACCCTGCACTCTGCAGGAAGTGGCTGATGACAGCCCAGGACCAGCGTGTCCACTTTGAAGACACAGTCTTTCAAATTCAGTTAAGTGTTCTGAATTTGCCACTAGTTTTGACTTGAAATGAAGCTTTCCTCTGTCTGCAGGCAGGTCCATCTGCAGAGCTGACAATGTGACATGTCCATCATGTGGATCCTCCTTAACCCAGCAAAGGGATTTTACTTAGGTCTGTGTGGTACCCAAATACATGGCTATTTCAATCAGTTAGACGACTGATTTGCTATCTGAGCATTTGTTTTATGCGATACTAAGTGAATCTTTGCCTATGGTGTTTAGGTATTTTATACATATATATATATACACATATATATATATATATATACATACACACATACATACATATCTTCATTCTGAAAGGCAGATACATGAATGATTACTAAAGAAGCAGTGAAGTCAAATGTTTCTCCTCTCTGTCCTCCTTCAAGTATCCCCATCCTGTATCTATTCATAGGTACCAACAGCTAAAGGAAGATATTTAAGATTTAAACTTTGTACTGAATTCACTCAATGTTACAAATTATTCCAAACACTCCTCCTCAGTTGCTGGAGAAGGTGCATTCTCCTCCTTTCCAATGCATTTAGGTGAGTATAAATGAGATGTTACAAACTGAAGTGTTATGTAAGTTATTTCAGCACATAAGAGACTACTTGGCCAAATGCGAACGGTGGTAAGAATGGAGTCAAATATTTTATTATCTGGTAGGTACTTTAGAAAGTCTCGAAAATTTCCCTTTGCAGAAAGTTTCTACTAGCAATAAGTTGAACCTCTTTGCTGGGTGGCATTTACCTTTTCAAAGTCAGCTAGGACAAACAATGGTCCTCTGGACCCTGGAGGCAGTTTCCACAAGATGTGAAACTGTTGTGTTTTCTGTGGTCTACGACTCCCAGGCCCTATAGTGCCCGCCATTTTTCTCTAGACTAACTCTATGGAAATTGCAGGCTGAACAGAAGTAATGCTACCAATCATACAAGGGAAACAACTGTAATTGCCAAAGATTGCTCATAAAATATAATAAGCTTTGAAATGTAGGAAGAAAATTCAACTGATTGTTTGAAATCTTGGGAAATTATTCAAAACAAGGCATTCTATGAGTATGGGGTTTGCAAACTAAAGTTAGAAGAGAATCTTGTAATGTTATTACCTGCCTTAAAAGGAAAATATGTCATTCATATCTTAGTTTGCTTGATTGGGATAGCTATATTGGAGGCATGAAAGCAAATTAAGTAGTATATTACTTACTCTTAAGAAAAATGGAAACTTTTTCCCATAAAATCCAACTCTGAAGAACTCTGGTTCAAGACGCTGCTGGTCCATAATTTTGTCATACAAAGAGGCTTCCATCATCTAGCAAAGAACAGGGGGTATTTTAATCATTTTATCTCATCTTTTAGCTCTACCACTTTATAGAAGAGGATATTTCTTCTATAAAAAAAGGAGAACGTCACTTTAGTTCCATTTGCAGAAAAGAAGGTTGACTCCTTTTCTATGCTTTAAGGCAGAGATCAACAAACTTACTCTGTAAATGGCCAGACAATAAATATTTCAGACCTTGCAAGTCACCTGGTCCCTGTCAAAACTACTCAATTCTGTGAGGTCCACAGGCTATAGTTTCCTGACCTCTGCTTTAAAGGATCGAGTATATTACTACTTGTTCTCACCAGAGAAAATGATTTCTATGCACGTAGTCTATCAAAATATTTTCTTCACAATAAAAATTAACATGAACTCTTAGAGGCAAAATCTTTCTGGAGAATTCTTGTACTCACCCGAGCATTCAGTTCTCCTAGGTCATGGTAATTCAGGACATTTGGAAGATGTAACCTTGTACAGGTTGAATGGGGATAAACCAACAAACCAAATGGGGCCCACAGTGCAAGTGCGGTGGGAGCTGAAGGCTGGTAAGTGTCTTTGATGAGGTTGGAAGCATGAAGTACATAAAGATAATGGCTTTCCATTCATGGTATTATCATCCCCAGGGTTTCCAGAGAAAGACTAACATTGCAATTGAAAATATCTCCCATTTCTCCACCCCCCAGTAATAACACCCAAAAGAGCACTTGGCATGAAGTGCAAAGCTTTGGGTTTATAAAAATCTTAGTGACTATGGCACCCAAGGGCCCTCACAGGTAAACATTGTAACCTTGCGTCTGTTCTGGGGACAGGATGCAAAGAGAAGCACAGGGACATTTTTATGTGAAACTGCAGTGCCTGCCAAAGCCAGCATGATGGGCTGAAGTTAAAACAAGGCTTTTCCTCCTTGGTTTTCCTGTTACGAGAAATACTGATGAACTCCTGACATGAAACAGTATGCCCAAGATACAGGGCTGGCTCCTGCCAGAGGAAGAAGTTACTTGTGGTATAAGGGGTACTGGGTTGTTAAAGGTTTATGAGTATCATCTCTTATATTGCTACCTTGGAATGAAAAGGCAATATCATCATTTCTTAAAATATATATGTATATGCATATGTATATATAATCTGATGATCCTGTTTAAGAAGCCCTGAAGAGCTTAAATGTAACACAATGATATCACATGTTTGACCTGACAAGAATAAGGATGTGGAGTACCAGAGGGACTTGCTTGAACCTTCAAGAAGAGAAGGTATTGAGTTGGCCAAAGTTCATTTGGGTTTTTGTATGATGTTTCGCAAAAACCCAAGCGAACTTTTTGGCTACCTCAATATAAAAGATTTGGTTTAGGGAGACAGAATATTAAACTCCTTGAGCTCTTGGGTACTAAGACCTTGGTTTCAGTTTTAGCAAATAAAAACATATTTCTGAAGCTAAAAAGATTTGATACCTACAGAAGTTAGCCCCCAAATCTTTCAAAATGTGTCAGCTAGCCATTTCTGCTATTTCACTGCACAGATGATGGGACTAAGAATGGAATATTACTGAGATTTGTGTGCAAGTGATAAGCTCTTCCAACAAAAAGTATTAATCCTGTTTTAAATTTTATATTTCAGATGTAGTATCTAGAATAGATCAACAGCTTACATTTTGCATATTAATAAAAAGCATCACACAGGTTAACATGCTATTTCTCTGGATAAATAGAGGAGTATGCTTCAGAGGAAAGGCATCTTTCAAAACCTTTCTACAAGACACATCAAGATGATCACAAAGTTGACTTCCTAGCACCATGTGAGGAACTTAATCTAAAAAAAGATTCCATAACCTGATTAGGATGCATGCAGGTACCTTACCCTCATCTTGCTCAGGTTTCTGTAATCATAGTAACTCTCGTACTGCTCTGCAATCTTCCGGCACAAGATGATGCCGTTCTCCCAACACTGTGGACAAGTGAATGACATATATGTTAACAATCTCATGGCATTTACTAATTTCCATCCAGAGGTCAAGAGGCGACCGCTCTCAGATGATCAAGCCTTACTTCTTAAGCTTTAAAACCTACCCTTAATAGAACCACTGCAATTTTAAGCATGAAAACAGAATGCAATTAACAAGTTCACTATTAAAAATATTTAGAGAGTTGAAAATGATAAGCTACAAGTCATTAACATATGGTGCAAAAACAACATTTCAATATCATCTCAAGACTATTATCCTGAAGATGTGGTGTACACACACACAGATATACACTAGAATATTAGTCAATCATCAAAAAGAATGAAATAATGCCATTTGCAGCAACATGGGTGCACCTAAAGACTATCACACTAAGTGAAGTAAGTAAAAGAAAGATAAATAGCATATGATATCACTTATGTGGAATCTAAAATACAACACATATCAACACACCTATGAAACAAAAACATACTCACAGACATGGGAACAGACATGTGGTTGCCAAGCGGGGGTGGGGAAGGAATGGATGGATGGATTGGGAGTTTGGGATTAGCAGATGCAAACTAGTACATATAGGATGAATAAACAACAAGGTCCTAATGTGTGACACAGGGAACTATATCCAACATCCCGTGACAAACCAAAATGGAAAAAGAATATGAAAAAGAATATATATATGTACAGATGAGTCACTTTGCTGTACAGAAGAAATTAACACAACACTGTAAATCACTACACTTCAATAAAACGGAAAAAAAAAAAAGGAATAATTTATAGGTAAAAAGTAAACAAAATGATCATGCTAAAATAACTGCAATTCCACAATGGCTAAGGAGATGAACGAGCAGCCCCTTAGGGCTCGGGTAGGGGGAACTGCCACTGACCCCTAAGGTCCAATTATCCACAGCTGGCTCAGTGGATTCCTTGTTGGCCCAAGTGTACTTGTAAACTGTAAGGGTCTAAGCCAGCTGGTTATTCTCAGCAGAAATGCAAAAATTCTTTGATCTAGCCCAGGTGTCTGCAAATTTTTTCACCAAACAGTAAACGCTTTAGGTGTTGTGGGACATACAACCTTTGTCACAACTGCCATTAAACTATGAAAACATCCGCAGACACACATGAGCTTGGCTGTGTTCCAATAAAACTTTATTGAGAACTGAAATATGAATTTCATATAATTTTCACAGGCCAAATACCATTCTTCTTTTGAGTTCTTTTGACCACCATTTAAAAACATAAAAGTGATTCTTAGTTTGTGGGCTGAACTGAAACACGCAGTGAGCTGTTTGACCCATGGGCCATAGTCTCCAAGTCCTCATAAAGCACAGACTCCTGGGAATGGGCCAAGAGAGGTTCTGTAACAGCTTATTTTACAGGTGGAAAGTTTACTGTGGGAGGACACAGAGGCATTTCTTTGCTATTAACGTAATGAACAATATGTCAGGGTAGTTAGATAAATAATAGAAGAGGATACGAAAGAAGCAATTGCCTTGCATCAAATTTTTAGGAGTACCCAATTATGTTTTATAAAAGAATGACAGCCACTGGGTGTATTTTCATTTCCTGTTTAACCTTGGCACTTTGAAAGATATATTTAAATCTAAGACATGTATCACCAAAGCATCCAAGTGTTCAAATCAACTGGGGTCAGATTCACGTTTTTTTTCCAAGAGCATTGCAAACCCTTGAAGAGGGAGCAGGTGGCAGGGAGGTGACATGCTGAATTGCTTTATTAGCTCAGGGAGGTTTTCAACACCCCATGGCAGCTCTGAGTACATGATGGGATGTCATAACATTCTGTAAATAAATTTAGTTTCATTTATTTCACCTTAAAAAAAGTGGACTGGGACAGAATACTATGTGCCAGTTTGGGGAGGTAGGGGAGGTGTGATATTGGTTTTTCAGATAACAAAATGCCTGGATGTTGAAACTTCTAGTTGAGGATCTCTCAAGGTGGGGTCCAAGTTCATATACACTGGAATTTTCTGGAGTCCTCATTAAAATCGCAGAATCCCCTGGTCCAAGCGAGACCTACTTAATTAGAATTCGCAGGAGTAGGGCCTGGGAATCTTATTTTCAGTCAACTCTTGGCAGTTGTTAATGCACTGAAAATACGAGGGCCCCTGCTTGAAGAGGTGGCCACCAATGAATTAGAAATAAAGGAAATGTGACAGTCACCCTGGGAAGGGACACAGGTGGCTGGGGCCACTTACCTTGCCCCGGTCAAAGTTCTGGATGATGGCGAGGTGCAGGTGCTCCTTGCGCTGCCATTCCGTTTGCATGGGGTAGGTCAGGAACTCCCGGAGGGGCCGGTCAGACCATTCCAGCAGCTCATCATATAACAACAGCGTATATGCAGCCTCTGAAAGATAAGCGGGAAGGTGATGATCGAGACAGGACCCCCATGCAGCTGGCTCAAGACAAGCTTTTATAAGCACTTTTTTCTGAATCTCATGATACTGAAGAACACATGTCCAGGACATATGCAATGGAAGGTGAATGAATGAGAAGTGCCTCGGGAGATGGAATTACCCGAGACTTGTGTTTGATCTTCTGGTTCTCTTTACCTTCTCTTTCTCTCCTTCCCATCTATGCTTCCCCCTATTGTTTATATGTACTGGCATAATAAAAATGTTTAAGGATAGCTCTGTAGCTGATTCAAAATGTAGGGGAGACGCGCTTTCATTTGCTGCATAGGTTCCCTGCTGAATCCCGTGGCAGGGGGCTATGCGCAGTCTCCACAGGCATGCTGTGTTGTTGTTCATCACTCAGCCGTCTTCAACCCTTTGCGACCACATGGACTGCAGTACGCCAGGCTTCCCTGTCCTTCACCATCTCCTGGTGTTTGCTCACACTCGTGTTCATTGAATCGGTGATGCCATCCAATCACCTCGTTCTCTGTCGCCCCCTTCTCCTCCTGCCATCAGTCTTTCCCAGCATCAGATTCTTTTCCAGTGAATCAGCTCTTCACATCAGATGGCCAAAGTATTGAAGCTTCAACATCAGTCCTTTCAATGAATATTGAGGACTGATTTCCTTTAGGATTGATTTGACCCTACGGGTTTGATCTCCTTGCTGTTCAAGGGACTCTCAAGAGTCTTCTCTAACACCACAGTTTAAAAGCATCAGTTCTTTAGCACTCAGCCTTGTTCATGGTCCAACTCTTACATCCATACATGACTACTAGAAAAACCATAGCTTTGACTATATGGATCTTTGTTGGCAAAAAAGGGCATGCTTAAGAAATAAAAAATGATAGCTCAATTCTCTTGACTAATAAAAGGCTGAAAAATGTTAATGTGATACAGTGAGTCCCCTATATACAAATGAGTTCTGTTCTGTGTGTTCTTAAGTGTAATTTGTTCATAAGTCCACAAAGTTAGCCTAGGTACCCAACAAATATAATCAGCTTTATAGTGCTGTACTGTAATAGGTTTGTAATAATTTTCACACAAATAATACATTAAAAAAACACACAAAAAATAAAGAAAACATCTTTAAAGTGCAGCACCTTGAAAGTATGGTAGCATGGTACAACAGCTGGCACACGGGGGCTGGCATCGAGTGAACAGGCAAGAAGAGTTCCTCACTGGAGACGTGAGAGGAGGTGGGAGATGGCAGAGCTGAAGGATCGTCAGCAATAGGAGATGGAGGGCAAGCTTTCATTTCACTCACGCTGACATTGATGGAACACATGTTCACATCCTTGAAAGTTCGGAACTTGAAAGTTTGTATGTAGGGGACTTATTGTATATGTGTGTGGGGGGGTATCAGGGTACAGACAGCATGTAGAAGGGGAAAAGCTGAGTTCAGAGAAGAAAAACTTTTACAATCTTTTAACAGCCAACAGAGAAAGGGCCAGAAAGGGTAGAAACATTGGGTAAGAAGAGTGTGTGTGTGTGAGAGAGAGAGAGAGAACAACCTGGGTGGGCTGTGTACTCTGACAGCCCCTCTGGCTGGCCCCATAAAGCTTCAGTAATGGTCACTAAAGTCATCACATGTTTGGTGTAGTGGGAATTTCCTGGGGAAACATGTAGAGGGATGCCATTCTATCCACGTGCATAGAAACGGTGACCCACAGGCTTAAGCACGGTTGACAGGTAATGTATTTAATAGGATACTTGCCATTCTGCAGGTCTCTTCTTTTCCTGAGCCATAAATACAGCCAAAAACATCAAGAATGGGAACCAGAATTCACTGTCTCTGATGAAAGACTATAATAATTTTTTTCACCTGACACTATAACAGCCAACTTATTTACTAAACTGAATAAAATGATAAAACCCTTATGTTAGGTATTCATTTACCTACCATCTCCACACATGTCTGAAATGACACAGTAGTAACTTTTAATACAATATCCATAAATGGTAATTCTTTTTCTTCACTTATTTGCTTTAAGGATAACTACACATAAGGCTCCTAAGTAACATATTATGTTCCAGTACTGTGATCTGGCCATCTCAATGTATAAAATATAGCTGTGATAAGAAAGGCCTTGGTCCCCATCACTATTCTCTTGTCTTTTAAGTGTAGAAGTCCGGTAAGGCACAGGTTCTGGCTGGGTTTGCCTCTAATTACCTTTGGTGAGCTCAACCCAGTAACTTCAGCGATTGCAGCAAAACTTTTCATCACTCACCAGCAGTCTCTTATCCCTCAGCATCCAGTGTGCAAGCTGTTACTAATACAAGTTTTCTTCACTGTAAATGATCACATTGCTCCCATGATTAAAACAAGTCAATGATTTTCAGTAACTATTAACAATAGAATGAATTTAGACTTCCTAAAGTGACACAGAAGGCCACCCATGATCTGGTCCCTCCACTCACATTTTCCCAATGTCCCCACTTATGATGGGTAAGAAGGAGCCTGCTTCTTTGAGCTTGCTACTGTCTCCCTAAAAAGCCTCCAGCCCCCCGACCCCATCATCACTTTTGCTGAATGAAACATGATGCATCCTGATCCAGAGGCGGCTGCCTGTCAGGGACACAGGCGCCTTCCACTGCATGGACATGGGGCAGGCCCTTTCCTGGGGTGAGATGGACAGAGTGAATGTCTGCTGGAGGGTGTCAAATAATCAATGGATGTAGAAGCAGCCAAATCTGCCATGACGTGGGTTGCCATGGAAGACTGCTTTGCAGGGGACAAGACAGATGATGATGATAACAAGATCATTAGAGCTATGCCGTATTTGAACAGCATCCTCATTTTCCCTGAGGCCTCCTGAGATCACTTCCTAATTTTTAATTACCCACATACCCTTATAATGCCAAGCATCTAAAAAAAACCCTAAGGGCATCTTTGTTTGTCTGTCCACACTCTTTGCTCCTGTCACTTGAACAAACTACGATTCCTCTCCCTTATCACACCAACCCACACCTGGGGTCCTTCACAGCCTGTTCCTTCAAGCCTTTAGCTGCTGAATAATTCCTATTTTCTGTTAATGACACAGCTCCAGAATGATCATCTTTGCCTCTCAGGTTTCTTTTGTATCTCCCTGAGCTCTCAAAAAATATCCTTGAGACTAACCATGCCACAGTGTAAAGGTGGAATAGTGAGTGGGGAGGTCAGAGGGAACCCCTTCCCACATCTCAGCTGCCCACAGGGAGGGACCAAAAAGGCAATGAAGGTCAAATTTATACACAGAGAAAGTAGAATAGTGGTGCCAGAGATGGGTGAGGGGAAAATGGGAAGTTACTGTTTAATGCGCACAGGGTTTCAGATTGGGTGGATGAAGAAGTTCCGGAGACAGATGGTGGTGAAGGTGGCCCAACAACATGAATGCACTTAATGGCCACTGAAGTGTACACTGAAAAATGGGTAAGATGGCAAATTTTATGTTATGTACATTTTGCCACAATAAATAAAATGAAAAAAGGGGGGAGTAATGAAGTGTTTCTAATCTGTAAACTGCTGTTCAAGTAATGTTTGCCCTGGGAAGGTCCAAGGGATGGCTGGAAGGTCAGGTGTGGGTGAGCTGCCCCTGAGAAGGGTGGGAAGAAGTAACTACTGGCAGGTTTTTTTGTACAGTTCTTCTGTGTATTCTTGCCACCTTAATCTCTTCTGTTTCTGTTAAGTCCTTGCTGTTTCTGTCATTTATTGTATACATCTTTGCATGAAAGTTTCCCTTGGTATTTCCAGTTTTCTTCAGGAGATCTCTAGTCTTTCCCATTTTATTGTTTTCCTCTATTTCTTTGCATTGTTCACTTAAGAAGGTTTTCTTATCTCTCCTTGCTATTCCCTGGATCTCTGCATGGCAGAAAGCGAAGAGAAACTAAAGAGCCTCTTGATGAAGGTGAAAGAGGAGAGGGAAAAGGCTGGATTAAAACTCAACATTCAAAAAACTAAGATCAAAGCATCTAGTCCCATCACTTCATGGTACAGAGATAGGGAAAAAGTGGAAACAGTGGTAGATTTTATGTTCTTGGGCTCCAAAATCACTGCAGATGGAGACTGTAGCCATGAAATTAAAACATGCTTGCTCTTTGGATGAAAAGCTATGACAAACCTAGACAGTGTGTTAAAAAGCAGACACATCACTTTGCTGACCAGGGTCTGGTTTAGTCAAAGCTATGGTTTTTCCAGTAGTCATGTATGGATGTGAGAGTTGGACCATAGAGAAGGCTGAGTGTCAAAGAATTGATGCTTTTGAACGGTGGTGCTGGAGAAGACTCTTGAGAGTCCCTTGGACAGCAAGGAGATCAAACCAGTCAATCCTAAAGGAAATCAACCCTAAATATTCACTGGAAGGACTGATGCTGAAACTGAAGCTTCAATACTTTGGCCATCTGATGTGAAGAGCTGACTCACTGGAAAAGAACCTGATGCTGGGAAAGATTGATGGCAGGAGGAGAAGGGGGTGACAGATGATGAGATAGTTGGATGGCATCACCAAGTCAATGGACATGAGTTTGAGCAAACTCCAGGAGATAACGAAAAACAGGGAAGCCTGGCGTGCTTCAGTCCATGTGGTCACAGAGAGTCAGACATGACTTTAGTGAATGAACAACAACTGGCAGGCCAGCAAAGCAAGCTGACAAATGACCGGTGGGTGACGTGGGAAAGTGTGAAAGCAAGTTACACCTGGATCAGAAGTTGATTCCGGAAGATTACAATGTGTATCAGGGGTAAACGGCATGTGTGAAGAAAACTGCAGAAAATTTTCATTAAAGGACACGTATGCCTCTGAGGTGTCAGCAACAGACTACTGAGGTTTTTGGAAAACATCAGCACATCAAAGATGTTTTATTACAATATGTTGCATGTTTATTCCTATGTATCTTTAGAAGACTGTATTACATACTGAAAAGAGAAAGATGACTTACATCCAAAAATATGAACAATATATTTAAAAGTGTTTATAATTTTGAACAAAAGGCCATCTCACATAATTAAATATGGGCCATCTCATTCCATTGTTTTGAGAATTGCACAGGGAAGATATCAATATGCAGAAAGAAGTAACACAGGATAAATGTGGAGACGATTCATGCAATGGAGGGCATTGTCACAGACGGCTGGAAAGGATTAAGCCATAAGAAACAAATCCTGTAAAGACAGAAGTTTTTCCATCAATTCCACTTTCTCCAAGGACCCACAGAAATGAGGACAGAGAAGAAATGAGTAAAATGTTATATGGGAAAATAACTTATTTCTTATGGCTTTGGGGAACATAAAAACTCCAAGCTAAGTAAACAAATTAAAGAAAAAAGATTTACACATTTTCAAAATATAAGGTGACAGATTTGGAGTTTCAGAAAACCAAAATATATCTGTTACATATCTGCAAGAGCTTGTCCTCACTTCCCTCTCTTATTTCTTCTGTTTTTTTTTTTTTTTTTTAAATGGGCTTCAAAATTAAACAAGTCTACTAGATTGTTTTCACAGATAAAAAAAACAAAAAACAGGTTCACCATTTTTCTAATATTTGCTGCTAACTACTTTAAAATGACTACTTAAACTTCTAGACAACAGAGTCAGCTAAAAAATCTTGGTTTATTTAATCAAGACTATCAGGACATCTGTGTGAAGAGATACTGGGGCTTCCTTGGTGATTGAGGAATTAACAATATTAAAGGAGAAAAATCTGCTCTTGGGGTGTTAAAATCTGAGTGCATTCTTAGTAATGCATTTATTTAAATCTCACAGCACTAGGCACTAATCTAACAACTGAGAAGACTAACAAGAAAATATCATCTCTGTCCTCAAGGAATTTACCCTTCAACTAAAGATCTCTCAGCCTACCTACCTACCTGTCAACACTCACACAGACACACATTTGTCATATAACTATGAATAAAATGATATGATGAATACTTGAACGGAAACCTGAAAAAACTGCAATGGGAAAAGAGTATGAAACATTAATTCAGCCCATGGCAGGGGGTGCGAGCTCATGGAGTTGGTGAGGGAGAGAGAAGGAAGATAAAGATTTCATGAAAAAGATGACATAGGAGCTGGCTCTGAAGGATAAAAAGAATGAACACAGTATTAGAGGGAAGCAAGAATACATTAGGCTGAATGGACAGGTGTTGCTTCGATTATGATGGGCCTTGAATAAAGACTTTGAGCTTTACTTTGTAGAAGACATGAGTTGATAGAGTTACATCTAGAGAAGGGAGTGACAAAGTTTTTTCTCAGGGATCATACAGTCAAATATTTAGGCTTGTAGGACACACAGTCTTTGTTGCAACTACTCAGCTACGCCATCTGAGTGCTACAGCAACCATACACGATATGTAATTAAGTGGGTGTGGCTGGAGTTTTAATAAAACATTCTTTTTTTTTTTTTAAGTCATCTGTATTTGTTACAACTTTTTAAAGCAGAATGTGACTTGAGCACTACATTTCCATTCACAAAACTTGCTCCAAGTTACTTTTCCAGTGGCTTTACAACATGCCTGAGCAGGCTTATAAGTTTGCTACTCTAAACAATATTTTTCTTTGGAAAACAAGCCCTATGTATGGACAGCAACTCCAATCAAGTTGGTTCAGCTTAACACACTAACTTCTAGAGGCCTGGCACATGCAGTCATAACTACAGGGGATGGAAGTTTTAAAAAGTATATCCCAGAAGATGAAAACTTGCTAAAACATTCTTTAAATAATCAAATGACAGGGCTGCAGGTTGAAGTTTACTGATCCCTGCTCTAGTGAATAACTCGGGAGAGTTAAGAAGCAGTCCAAGAGAGAGACGATGAAGGCCTGATTGAGGCAGTGAAACTGGAAAAAATAAGAAAGGATATGGCTTTCATTTTTAGGAAGCAGAACCAATAGCACCTCATGAAGGGGAGGTATCAAAGACATCATAAAGGTCTCCAGTCTGAGTCAAGAACTGGGAACTTTTAACTTTTAAACAATTCTCTTAACTGATATAGTGGAACCGTAGCTAGAGGCATGCTTAAATCCTGGGAACATAAGCATCACTTCAGAAAACGTTCCTTTACTCTTTCAAAGCTGGGGGAGGAACCAAGATTCAGGAGTTCCTTGGAAGAACAGCGTGCCAAAAGACTAAGATTTGTAATTTCTAAATCCAATTAAAGGGTTTTCATTCTGGTTAAGATGTGGTATGCACATTTTAGTGTATTTTTTCTCACTGATTCAACTAAAAACCCAAGACAGAATATATAAAGCAACTATTAGAGAATTCTGAAAAGTAAACAAGAAGGTAGACAGAACAGGAAAATCAATACTCAGAGGAGGATGACATAGTGGTGAGCTCCTGGTTTTTACCTTTTTGCCTTTTATATCTCCAGGCTTAGCCTTCCCTGTTTCCTGTAACTTCAAATGGAAAACAGACAGGAAAAGCTCCTCTAGTCAGAGAACTGGGAAAAGGACCTTCTGTGGGATGGAGGACTTTGTGTTCCTCTGGTCCACTCTGAGACCCAGGAACAAAGCTGCAAACCTGCATTGTGACATGAGGGGCAGTCACAGTGGCAGCTTCCATTTTTCTATTTTCTTTCACTGCCTTCCCCCTACCAGGGAGGCTGACTATACATAGTAGATCATAGTGTGGAGGATCAAGTCTTGGCTCTGAGTACTCGGCTCTGATTAGGCTAGAGTATCGGGAAAAGGAGCTCTTGGGAGATGCTAAGAGTGAGAAAGATCAGAGGGAGCAAGTAGATGGAGAAAGGAATTTTCAAATTATGTGTATGACTTCCTGGGCTCACCCTTAAGCTGTACACGTATAGAATGAATCAGAATCAACATAACAAAGCTTTTGATAAATGAACTATGGTATAGATAACTGTCCTTGTCCCAGGCTCTCCCCAGGGGCACACAGCAGGAAAGACCACGGAAGTGCAGCAAAGGCTTTGAAAACTAAACCGACCTTCAAAAGGTAACTCGGGACTTTAAGTCTGAACTTAGCTGGATTGATTTTTTGAAGATTTTAACAAAACCCAGAATCTCACAATATTCAAAATGTCTGGGATACAATCCAAAATTACTTGACATTCAGAGAACCAGGAAAACTAAATAAATCTCAGAGGGAAAAAGCAATTAACAGATGCCAACTCTAAGATGATTCAGTTGTTGAAATTATAGGCAAATACTATGAAACAGCTATTATAACCGTGCTACTTGAAGTAAAAGTGAACACTTATGAAATGAAGAGAAAAATACAAATTTTTGCAAAGTCATTGAAGCTATTAAAAATAACTAAATAAACTTTTAGACAAATAATAAAAAATTAAAAAAAATTAAAACTTCACTGGAAGGGCTCCGTAGTTGAATGGAAATGATAAAGAAGAGCCAATGAACTTGAAAATGGATAAATGGAAATTATCCAATCTGAAAAACAGAAAGAATAAAAAAATTGAAACCCCTCCCACAAAACAGCACCCCAGGAAATTATAGAACAATACCAAATGGTCTAACATCGATAAAACTGGAGTCCCAAAACAGAGAATCAGTGCAGAAAATATATTTGAAGAAATAATGCCTGAACGTTTCCCAAATTTGGTGAAAGAAATGTTGAGAGATCCAAGAGGCTCAGCAAACCCAACAAGTACACACTTAAAAAAAACCATGCTGATATATATATCATAATTGAAGTGCTGAAAACCAAAGACAAAGTCTTAAAGGCAACCAGAGAAAATTACACATTACATACAGGGGAACAATTTAAATGACTACAGCTCTCATCAAAAACAATGGAGGCCAAAAGAAAATAAAAGTTTTAAAGTACTGTTACAAAGACACTGTCCAACTGTATCCAGCAAACATTTCCTTCAGGGATAAAGGTAAAATAAAGATGAAGCACAACTAAGAATTCTTCACTACTAGATCTGTTCTAAAAGAAATACTATAACAAGTTCTAGAGATTGAATGAAAATGTTAACAGAGGAAAATTGAGAATTTCATGAGTGAAGAAAGAGCAACAGGAATGGTAAATATCTGAGTAAATATAATAGATAATTTTTATCCTCTTAAATTCTTTAAAATAGGTATGACTTAAAAATTATGACACTATACAATGGAATTTTTCAATGTACATACGTATATGCTTATGACTATTACAATGTCCAGTGGGGAGGTTGTAAAGTTCCTATATTTAACTTGAAGTGGTGAAATACTAACTCTAAAATACTAACTGTAAAAAGCTAGGTGTGTATTTTATAAACCACTCAAAAATCAATCCCAAAGCCAACTCCTAAAAAATTATGTAAATAGGTATAGTAAAGAAAAAACATATATATTCCAGTTCTAAATTCCAATTTTAAAAGGAGAAATGCTTGAATCTTCAGCTCTAATTTAAAAAACAGAGGAATTATATTTAATATAACAGTGACCAGCCCACTTCCCCCAACTCAAGTCAAAAGACACATTACCTGTGAAATTCTGTGCTTTGAGGTGCAGATCATAGAGTTTGTGGATGTAGCGTATATACATCTCCTCCTTGTTCAGTTCAGTCTTATAGAAGTTCTAAGAGAAAAAAAAAGAGTTTAAGTATGGATAATTTTTCAACAGTTAGTTGGCAGGTATCTACCCTTTACTCTGCTTGAAGTTTCATGTCTTGAACCAAGAAAACAGACAAATTTTTCATACAAATGTCTTACAAAATTAAGTAAGGGACATAGTCATTCATGTATATATATATATATATTTGACATTTCTTTCATTTTATTTTGGCTGTGCCGCATGGCATGTGGAATCTTAGTCCCCTAAGGATAGAACCCGCACTCCTTGTATTGTTAGTGCAGTCTTAACCTTTGGACAGCCAGTCAAGGGCAAAAGACAGTGACATATCTTTAATTCAACACTGTCTGTATTAAAAATTACCTACCAATAACTGGATAGGCTGGTAACTCCTGGGGGGGAATGTTACTACCACTGATTCACATTTCTTTTGTCACTTTCTATTGTTTTTTGGTTAAGTTTAACTGCCAATGAACTACTCTAAAAATTCAACTAAAATATTAAAAATATGTTAAGATATTAACCTATTTATTACATTTGATCACTGATAGTCAAAGGATAATTTCTTTCATCTTAAAATTATTTTATGGTGAATTAAAGGTTTTCAGTGTATGACTACAACATAAAGGGATTTGTAAGAGATTTTATTTCAAATTATTGCTACAAGGGCATGCTTACTGGAAATATTTGGTTTATGAAAACAAAGTATCTGGATCTTATTTAAACTTCTCTAAAATGTTTAACATTCATCATCAGAAACTCAACTTTGACTTAACTGAACACATTACGTTGTTATTTTAAATGTTTACATTACAGGTCGCCACATCTATTTCTTTATCAATATCAATTTTCTAACATAGAAAGTATGTTAGTCCTCACTGAACTTTGTAAACATAGGAGCAAAAGTGTAAGAAGTTGGAACTCAGCAAAAGCGTGATGCTGTGAGGCTCTGTATCAGGCTCCTTCAGCAAGCAGATCACTGCAGATCTTATGAACTCTCTGCTTACAGCCATCTGAACTGCTATCATTACTATTGCTATTATTTTGACAGATGCTACTTGGTGTTTAGAATGAAAAATGAATAGTGATGGGGAGACAAATCTGTTGACTTGAAGGAGTAACAGGTTTTTCTAGGGGGAAAGGCCAGGAATTTTAAACATTTCTAAAGTTGATTAGCTGGAGAGGGCTTTGGTTATGGACCAAACTAGCCAGTGTGGCTGCTTAACTGTACTTGGGCTGAAGCCTGAGGACCTCCTGTCAATGTGCTTTGTGGCCACGACCTAACAGGTATCCATTCTTCAATATGAGGACACATCTAACTTCAAGAAGCTGACATGTAGTTGAACGCATCGTAGAAAAATATCTCCTCCAATTTATACCATTATCCTTTCCCTTTCCTTTTGTGTCCTGTAGATCTTGGGTGGCACTAATCTTGGGTGGCTTGCCAGGTGGCATTAATTGTAAAGAACCCAGCTGCCAATGCAGGAGACATAATAGACCTGGGCTCAATTCTTGGGTTGGAAAGATCTCCAAGAGGAGGGCGCAGCACCCTACTCCAACATTCTTGCCTGGAGAATCCCATGGACAGGAGCCTGGTAGGCTACAGTTTCCTGTAGATCTTAGCATTCTTTAAAAAGCTAAGTAAACAATGCTCTTCACCTCTCTCTTATTATAACCAAAATCATTTTAATTAGCAAGAATTATTGTACCATAAACATAAATCTGACCACTCAATAGCAGACCTTTACATTATTAAACAATGTTTTGTTTTGTTTTTTCCCAATAGCTTTCTGGTAAGAAGCAGATTTCTTTGGGAACAAAATAACTGATCATTCTGTAAATGAATAATACTTCTTTAAAAAAAAAAAAAAGAAAGAAAAGATATCTCCAGTCAGCAGATGAGTCTCTTTCATGTATGTCTGGCAAAACTAGTGACAGAAAGAACAAAACAATAATTAATTTCCTAGCTTTAGTCATGTCAAAGATTACACATTTTTAGCAGTCTAATACTACTGTTTAACTCAGAGCTTGTAGAGAAAGTCAGAGTTCCTCTGAAGACAATCTGGAATTGATCTTTCCAAAGAGTTAAGAAAAATCTCCAGGAGGAAGTAAGTGATTAAAGAGAAGCATATTGCAGCTAGAAAACATCAGAAAACTTTCCATATGGAGTATAAGCTAAAAAGATTAGCTTCAGAGCTATATATTCGGTCCTTTAATAATAAGTATTCCTGTGCAGTTGAAATTAAAACAGTGTTCAAAATGTTAGCATTTCCTATAAGGACTATTCTTGGTCAGTGTAAAACTAACAAGATAGATTCTTTGTCTCATGTGAACACTGATGGGGACCACAGATTTTATTGTCTCTGGCTCATTCCTCCTGGGAAACTAGAGTAAACACATGTAGGTCAAGAGTATTCAGTCTTTCATCCAAGGAAATGATATCTTCTGTTTATACCAGTTAAGGAAATGGACCCAGAGTCTACACTTAAGAGTGTACCTCCCAAGGTCACAGAGGGTGCTGTGAAAGCAGATGGAGACAATGGAAGACGATTCCTTCGGGAAAAGGTAAAGGCTTTCCTTTGAGGTTATTTATGAGATTTTGGGCTTGGAGCTGGGGAAGAGCCAGGATTAAGGAGACAGACTGAGAAAACCTGAAGACGACAGAGCACTTGGCTTCTTTCCTCAAATATTGATGTACAAGCAGAGACACGGAAGGAGATCAGGCTGAGGACCTTGACCACGGCCAAAGGCTGGCAAACAGTGGGGAAAGCACAGAAAGGAAATTCAGAAGTGGGAATGACTCTGCTCAAGGTTAGACATTAAGTGCTAAGAGGAGAGGTAATGGGCTGACCCCATGAGCTTGGCCTCATGGCCTGCAGGTTACTATTGGGTCTGATGATAAAAATTATGGAAGAAACTGAATAACAAGAGGTGGCCTGACAAAGGATACTCAGGTCTCACTATTTTTAGCACCTGGTATCAGAGGTGGGGTGTAACAATTAAATGCAAAAATGAGGAGGAAGTGGTGGGTGTGGTTAAAAAAAAAAGGATAAAGTCATATACTCAGTGATGAACAGTACAGCAAGAAAAGAAATAAAGGAAAAAGATAGTCCTAAGAAAGTAAAAATTCTGAGCTCTGAAGAGGGACTGTGAGGGGAATAAACAAAACAAAAAAATCTGAAATCAATGAGCTAAGACAAGACAGAATCAGATTGGGGAAAAAACAAAATTTTAAGGTGCAGGCAAATAGTGAACAAAAAGGCATGGATGTAAGAGACTCGTGGATCAGAGTAAGAATTAGAATTGTTTGTGCAAATACTTAGGATAGATGATGAGGTATACCTATTCTGTGAAATAAGAAAAAGAAACCATGATATACACAAATTTAGAACCAGAAACAGAGTATTCTTGTATTTTAAATCTGATCAATGTAAATTATTAAAAGCATCAATTTATCCTACACCAAAATTTGAAAAAGGAATGTAAATGTATAGTCCTTCTTTTGCTCTGTAGTGAGAATATCATTCTATTTGATAATTAGTTATGAGAACTTTCAGGATAAATTTTGTGTTCCTAGAACTGTTCTGCTGTAGCCTATTATCCTTACGATACTGATTTTTATTTTCAAAAATTTCTTGTTTGGATGAGAAACTATATGGTTATCCCAGGTATAGTCCAAACTTTAACCACAGATGGCTTTAATTTGCAAAGATGCTATAGAGTGAAAATATGTGTGTTAAACAGAAAACTGTCATTTATTCAGAAAGGAACATTAATATTTATTAAAATCTAGAATAAATATAAGCAGGGTAGAAAGGAACTGTTTACACAGAAGTGGAAAGATCTTTTTCCAGGGACATCATCCTTTTTCCTAGGAGAGCAACAAAGGACTCCAGGGCAGAAAAGTGAGACAATAGGGAGAAGCTGGCATCACCCTGGGATCTTACAGTGGGTACTTTCTGCAACACTGGGGAGCTGAGAATTCTCTAGCATTTAATTCAAACTAAAGCAAAGAACACTTCTAAACTCTTCTAAGAAACACTCAGACAAAGACACACTGTGGCAGAAAAACAAACAAAACATAGTATTTCTGAGAAAAAGCAAACATTATAATGCAAGGAGGGAAAGGGAAGTCATTGACTAACCAGGAGGCTCACGGTGCAGCCAATCTTTTTGCCATCTACCTCGCCCATTTTCATGCAGTCCCTAAAAACAAGAAGCAAGGGTCAGAACTCAGAACTTCCTTCCTAAGGGCAAACACAGTTTGTTCTTCTAGGGGAAAAAATGAAACTGTCAGAGACTAGAGGCTATTTGCAAGTTGCTGTTTGGATCAAGGAGGCCAGAGCCCCAAGAGGCTTGGGGTTTGGGGCTGGGGGGTGGGGGGGTGGGTAGTCAGACCCTCCCTGAGCACCAACGTGACTGTAGATTTCACTTCCAGGTGGGCTGTGCCCTCTCTCAACAGAGAGTGGGCTAAGGAAGAGGAGGGGTGAGGGGATGTTACGACACACCTTTTACTGGGCTGAAAAGGAGTCGGTAAGCCTGGCCATCAGCAGTAACAATGCAGCTTTTTTTCTTAAAATACCATGCATTTAAGTGGGATGACCTGCTTCAACAGTTTAGATCACTTCAAAATAAAAAAATCATGTCTCTGAAAGGTAACGGTGTGAGTTTCATTCCCTCTCTCCTTCTCTAAGAAAGCAGCATGGTTATACAATTCTCTGTTACAACACCGTCACACTAAGATGAATGGGTCTATTGATTCTAATGGGTGAGCTTCAAAAACAGCAACAAGGGATTTCCTTAATAACAGGACTCTCTCAATTTACTAAAACTTTAAAAGAACTGCCGTAAACCCCAGAACAAAACATTAAAAAAGGAAAAACAAACAAAGAGAAAATTGAGCTAGCTAGTTAAAAGTCCACTAGTTTACTGCACAAGGTTCCATGGTCTGAATATCAGTTCTTTGAGTGATAAACTCAAGTGAAACTGTATTCTGACTCTTCGACTTCCTAACTGGAGCGCAGTGTATCTGGGAAACAGGGCTTACCTGTAATCTAACAACCTCTCCATCAGCCGAGTTACAGTGGCGATTAAGGAAACACCACTTTCTCTCCATGTTTCCCGCTCAATTTTCTTTAGTAGACTGGAAAAGAAAGAACCCAGGGTATTTTCAACATTTATTTTTATCAGTCACCATGACAACCATTTTACTTTCATCAGTACCTTAAATGCCTTAGCAACCACCGCAACATCTCACAAGTACCACGATGCAAACAATGTCTTACCTAGGATAGGGACCAAAGAGTGGAATTCTAATCCAGGAAGCATTGACAAAGCAAATTGATTTTCAGATTATCCAAGTCATCAAATACAAACACATGCATATAAATCATACTTTCAAAATATGCAAGCACCTCAGAGCTCAAAGACATTGTTTCCTAGCTTCTCTCTTCCACTAATATTAGAGGCTTGTGCCTCCCCACAACAAACAACATTGAGAAAAGCAAAAACAGGAGTGCCTCAAAGTTTACTTTTAAGTAAGATCTTGCTTTAGTCACACAAAAATGTTTTCCTACCTCTCAGTGGAATGCATCTTCATCCAAGCAATTTTACTGCAATGCAACTGCTACAGGAAAATCCTTGTACAGACGGTATGACGTTTTGCGTTTTTTCCTTTCACTTAACATTTGCCCACTCAATACATATTGTACTATCTGTGCACTCACTCAACAGTTTCATTCATTTTGTCATTAATCACCGAGGATTTTCTATGTGGTTGTTACAGCAGATTGATGACAAGTACCGAACCACATCTCTCCTCCTACATTTTTCCCCTAATCTTAAGCACCTTGGAGCAGAGGCATGCTATGTAAACACAAAACAATAACAATCATAATAATTAGGATCTCTTTTTACTTTCACTCCCACCTCTCAGCAAATTAACCATATACTTGGCAAAACCCCTTTAAGATTGAACTTTCCCCAAAAGAAGAAAAGAACATAGGCATGACAACATGAGGATACTCTGTCCTCCTAAATTTAATGATGATTATTTCTAAAATCTTGTTTCCCTCTTATCCTGGATTCAGGAATAACAGAGAGAGAAGACATTTTTTACTTTTTATTTTTTTCACAAGTACCATCTCAGTCTAGCCTGTATTGTGCTTAGTAGAAAAAAAAAGCTATTTTGTCAAAGCTTTTTTCTTTTTTTGGTCTTTGGCTATGTTCTCTCTCAATTGTCCCTCCTGCTCTCCCCACATTCTTTCGGCCATTGCCCTTCCAGTGCCTGGTCTTCTGTCCTGGCTCCTAATCTGGTGCCTAGGCATCCCTGATCATTTGTTTTTCTGGCTTATTCTGAACTACTTCCTAAACTAAGGAGGGGGAGGAAGGGAGAGGTAACACATGAAGGAATGGAGCTTGCCCTGACTAATCCCCCAGGGAAAAGTCCCCTAGTTTGTTCTAAATGTGTTTTCTTTAAAAAAAAGAAAAGAAAAGAAAAAAACCCTCTGAAAAGCACCTGTTTCAAGCTTAAATGCCAAACTGGTATTGAACCAAGTACGCAAATGAAACTCTGCCTGCCAAAGCAAGGCAGGATGACGGAGAAATCTTCCCAAGCGACAGCCCACACCTCATATACTTTAGAGGCTGAAAAACAAAGAACTCAAGTTAAGTAATAATTCTAAAAATAAATGGGAGACTTCTTTTATAGGCATGAGCTTCACTAACTTGCACAGCCCCTGGATGCAGTCAGAAATCAGAGCTACAGAATCCTCTTGCGAAAAGAGGCACAGCTCTGCAGAGCCTGCTGCCTTGACTAACCTGAGACTCAAATTATCAGGACCAAGCCGAGAACCTGGTTCATCTGCTTTCTTGGCCAGGATTATTCCTTCTGTGGGAAAGCTGGCCCTCCAAGCTTACTTGATACACCCGGACAAGGAGAGGCTATCAGACAAGAAGAGTCTTTCTATAAAACTTGGGTGACACAGGTCTATAATCTGGTCTACAATTATGCCAATGTGCCCATGCTGAGTACACAGGGAACTCATCTAGTAACAATGAAAGTTTTCTATTTTTTTTTTTTTGAGGCAATAAGATGATAAATGGTTGCTACATAAACTAATGCGCTAACTTTACATACATGTCACAAGAGCATAAATGATGCATCATTTCTTTATAACTTTTAAAAACCATTTAAAAAACAGAACTACAGTTAATTTACAATGTTGTTAGTTTCAAGGGTACAGCAAAATGATTCAGATACATATATATACAAATATATCTCCCTTATTTCTTTTCTATTATAGATTATTACAAGATATTGAATATAGCTCTCTGTGCTATACAATAGGTCCTTTCTGTTGAGATATAGAAGTTCGTCTGTGTTAATCCCAAACTCCTAATTTATCTCCCCACTCCAAGGTGATTTTTTATTGCTAATGATAGGCAATTGGCTGCCACGACAACGAGGAGCCACATAAATAACGCCCTGCAGGACTATGCCTTGGCTCATTAGGCTTTTCTCCTCTGATGGAATGAAGGGTGCAGAATTTGACCCTCACTTTACCTCTCTCTGTGTCTTAACAGGACTGTGTGGAGACCAACGCTTTATATACATAGGTGGTTCAGATGGTAAAGCATCTGCCTGCAATGTAGGAGACCTGGGTTCAATCCCTGGGTCAGGAAGATCCCCTGGAGAAGGGAATGGCAACCCACTCCAGCATTCTTGCATGGAGAATGCCAAGGACAGAGGAGCCTGGTGGGCTACAGTCTATGGGGTCGCAGAGTCGGACACAACTGAGCAACTTTCACTTCATTTCTTCACTTCAAATACACACACACACACACATGCACACACACAGCTCTATGAAATTATTTGGAGCCTTACTGAATTATTCAGAGCAACACACAATAAAACACAGTGGAGGACTGAGGTGGAGGTTACATCTTCCGGAAATCCCCTTCCTAACCCCCGAGGCTGTCAGTACCCTCGCTGTGTGTGCCAACAGCCAGCCACTGACGCACCCTCAGCCTCAGAAGACCAGCAAGCACGGGGAGATGCTCAATTAATGAAGCTGAGGAGTCAACGAAGCGGATGCAGGGAAGCAGGATTTCATTCTGATACCTTATTCTGCATATCTCACGGGCAGCGATGATCCACAATTTCAGCATTATCAAAACCAATATATCCCAACCCTCATTTATTTCAAAAAGATGTAGTGTGGGAAAATGAGGATAACATGAGGGTCAGGGAAAGACAAGTTCTTAGGAAGGACTGTACTTTATACATTTACAGTTCCATTCTAAGGAGGCTATTTTAGCAAGTATATATCCCATTTTCAGGAAGCAGTGAGCTACTTTCAGCTTCTGACCGAATTTTAAGAAGTTTTAGACATGAATTACAGAGAAAAAATGAAAATCTGTACCACAATGTCACGTGTTCCCAATTCATAATGTGTGCAGTGACACAGTGTGATTACCCTAATTCTTTGTGATTTCTATTGTCAAAAAAGCATTTTATTGTTTCCTGAAATATAGTTGGATTTTCCCTTTCTTTTCTGAGCCCAGGTAGTAATGACATTTAATTATCACTTTAGATTTTATTTATTCTCAATATGCTGATCATAAAAGTATGAGAAACATTTATAGTAAGATTTCTAGTGATATGCTAGAAAATCAGGAAAAGAATAAAAATCTCCAGTGAATGAATCAGGGACCTTAAAACAGTCCTAATTATAGAGGCTTAATATTTTAATTATTGGTGTGATTTTAATGTCAAGGTACATCTTCTATTTCAAAGCCATATTTACACACAAGCAGTCCAAATTGCATGCTATCAGGCCTTTATTAAAGTAGATAAGAGGCACTACAGAGCTATGCGAGTGCTTATTAATCTTATGAATTTATTATAAATAATTAATCACAAATCTCAAGAGATTCATTTCACCAAGTGCTTTCTCATTTTAGTTCTTTGTTCAAACCAAAGACTAGTAACGGAATTGAGAGTGGTTTTCAAAAGTAATTTATTATACTGGATGAGGTTTTAATCAGAATTCTTGCTAAACTCCAGCTGTCATGAAAGACAGATGCTTTGTACAGTAGAATGAACAAAGGCTTGGTGAATAATTATTAAAAGTTCCAGTTTAATTACAGTATCAGAAGAAAATGCCATTGTTCAGGATTCAGTACAAAGAATGTATTTTATCACATACCACCACCACAAGAGATCTGTACACCCCTTCTTGGCTTTTCCCTTTAATATAATTTTCTTAAAAGCGTCAAGAATGACTTTAAATCAGGCAAGTTGAAATCTATCAACCATTAGTAACACTTTTCAACCCTATATATTAATATATCTGCTGCTCTAAATTTATGATCATAACATTTAAATTACAGAGTTTTCTATCTGGCTATCAGTGCTAAAGCAGTAGTATTTAGTTTTAGATTTACTTGGTTGTAACTACAAGGAAAAGCATATTTTGTAATAGAAAAATATATTGCTAAATTGTTTCTGCACTTTTGAAAGAACTGCAAACATTTCCCAAGCACAATGAGCTGGTTCTTCCTCAAAAAGAAACACTTCATAAGTATAAAAGGTTAGACAATGACTAAGATCCTTAGAAAGCTGTAGAGAAAACAAGTGCTAGAATTAAAATCCTTAAGCACTGGAAGCTTCTTATGTATTGTCTGTGGCCATTTTACAAAGTGAGTGACTGCTCAGTATACGCACTTCATCCTGGGACAGTGATCACAGTCTTTCCTTAGTAAGGACAACTTCAAGTCTCCTTAAAATACTCCATTACTTCTTTATCCTCCTTACAAATCCTAATCACAGAATCTACTAGAAATTATTTGCTTCTGTGATATTCTAGTAAGGAACATTTAGGAAGCAATTAATAATGCTGAATGAGCAATAACCATTGCTGAATTAAAGCAAGCGCTGAAGCACAGATGCAAACTAGGTTAATTTTCCTAACAGCAAATCAGCCAAGGACATCTTGGAAAGCATTGCACACAAACACAACAATCGCATCACTATTTTGTTTTCCTCTCCCACTATCTACCCAATTGAAAATCATTACCTTGCAGCCCCAATTTTAAAATTGTTAGTCATGAAAAGAGTGAGATTTGTTATGTAACACTTGTAACCTGTCCTAATCAGAGATTAATACAAGGAGATATGTCTAATCATCAGCATAATAAGATCCATTCACCAGAGTTAGGCAATGATCCTTTATTTCACACTCCACAAAGACAAAGCACTCTGGGGAGACCCAAGCTATCTTTGCAGCTCTCAGCTGCTTAACACTGACACCCAAATCCCCCCAAAAGAATCAACTGGAGATACACATGTTACTCACATACTGTTGAAGAGCTCACGGTAGGTTTCATCGCCTTTGCCTTCGGACATCAGGCTGTCCAGTTTGTCAATGAGCTTGGCTTCCACCTAAAACAGACCCAAATGTTACTCTCTTTCTTTCCTTCTCACAAGGAGGATTTTCTAGGCACATGGAAACATATTTATTTCTGAAAGGGAAAAAGCCACAGTAAATTTTGTGAATTTATCAGCTGTGGTTAACCGGAGACACCCCCTTGGAATTCTAGGGGGCCAATTTAGATGCAGGAACATGACTTCAAACTCCCGGTGGGGTAGCGTGTGCTGCCGCGAAAGACTTCTATTTGTTGATTCAAACACAAATGCCTGCAGCCCAGCTTAAATGTTTGAATTCTTTTTTTAGGAGCTGTAAAAACTGGCAAGGCTTTTTGGTTTTTTTCAAATCATGATATATATATATACACACATACACACACACATACATATATATAAGAACATCAGCAAACTACCATATCCACAAACATTCAGTTAAATCTTTGATGTGTTTTGTATCTATTTTCTTTCTCAAAACAGTTTGAGGTTGCACTAAATCTTTGCTGAAGTTGAGAATTTGTCCTAACCATGTACAGATGGTAGATCCATAGACATATTCTAAGTCAGCAATCGGCAGCATGAGACAGAAAGGACATATTTCCTGAAAACTGTAGTCAAAACATTTATATTTTCAAGAACATAAATCCTTTAGGACTTCAGTGTCAGGAAAGCAGAAATAAATATCCCTTCATCTCTCGGAGACAGCAGAGGGGACAGGAAAGGAAGAGTTTCTGCAAGGCCAGAGAGTTAACAACTAGGGGTATGGAGGGATATCTGACTTTGTCAGAGGACTGAGCACTATTATTTTCTTTGAATCAAAAATTTCAATAAATGGGTAAAGAGATAAGGGAAGAAAGGTGTGTTCTCCCCAATATAATTTTTAAATAGGCTTTCATTCACGTATTGACTCTCCTGAAAATAAATGAAGGTCTTGATACAGATGAAATGTCATGCTTTTGGCAATGGGAGGGTTCTATGTATGCATTCAGCTTGTTCATACAGTTGACCATCATTTTCTAAGACCTGAGAAGGGCTCACAGGGAGAAGCAAGAAGCTTCCTTCATGCAGCAGAGTGCACACAGGTGAGTGCCATGACTGTGTGAACAGTTGGCCTGCTGTCTCCAATAGGAGTGACTTGCCCTGGCAAAGGCAGTTGATTTCTGCTATGAGATCTGGTTTTGGAATAAGAACAAGTATCTCTCCAAAACTGGAGCCTGTGACAAGGAGATCCTGTATCAAAGAGAAATGATAAGCTCATGCTCATCTTGGAATTTCTTTTACAACAATTTTGACTGCTTTTCCCTTTAAATTAATTCTCAGCACTTCAAGCAAAGAGCAATAAAACATACTGTGCATCAAATGCTCAAAGCTAAGCCATTCACCAAACACAATGTGCAGACCACTGAGAGGTCAGCAATTTTAGGAATCATTAACCTTCTGATTCCTCTGTGCTGTGTCCAGCTGGGAGCAAATAAAGTTTCTGCTAGTTCTTAAACACAGACCTTGGGAATCACAGGATTTTTTTCTTTTTTAGCTGAAAGGTAATTAAATTTTTTTTTTTTCAGGGCTTCTCAGAGATTCAGGGAGACAGTCCCTGAAAGGTGTCCAAGGCTATGTATTCAGCTTGGAAGTAAGCAGCCTATGTTGAAATCTGGTTCAGAGCTCATTCCTCAACTCAGAGCATCTCTGAGCCACCGCACTCAACTCTAAGAGAACTGAGACTCTTATGACTGCTCTGAGAGCACATCCACCCACCTGTTTAAAATTGCCACTCCGCCTCTGCTCCCAGTCCATCATATCATGGAAAATAGGAATCATGACATTGCGGAGATCTGGCTGGGGTATCAAGGTTACTTCCAGGAAGGGGCCGATCAGGGCAGGGATGAAATGGAGCTTGTGCTCTCCTAAAATGAATGAAATATTTACCTTTCTGTAGATTTAGTTTTAATAAGATTTCAGAAAATCAGTATTATATGACTTGTTTAAAACTACTGTCACAAGAACACGATCGATTATAGTTGTCTCAAGCAAGAAAATATTTCTCTAAACAGCTATATAAACAGTAGATTTCCATGAGTTAGTATTTCTGCATCATTTTTAATTAAAAAAAAACAACCTAGGGATTTACCTTTTCACAGTTTAAAAAAAAGCCATTAAGATACAATTAAACATTATATAAATCATCAGGAATTTGTTATGTATACTACTGCACTTCACATATTAAAATTCTTATGCAATCATTAAAAATGAGGTTGAAGAATAACACAGATAAGTTTCTCAATATAATTAACTGTAAAAGCAGCGCACCACACAGTACGCAAAGGTACATCTTTCATTTAAAAAGAATATATATATGATAGTCTAAAAGGTTATATCCCCTAGTAGTAACCACATTGGTTATCTCTGGGTGATAATATTACTAGTGACTTTTATATATGAAAAAGGTGGTTCCTATCTGCATTATGTAATTTGTCTTCCTTCTTTACATAATAAACATAACAGCCTAAGTAGCATAAAAACATTGGCCCAAACAACAACAGAACAATTTTCTGAAAAGACTACAATGCAATAATAGTGAATTCAAAATGGTATTTAGCAAGTCCTAAAAAGTATACTGTTGATAATTCAGAGCAAAGGAAAGTGGAGGGTGGGCTGGACACAGATGATTTTGTCTAGCAGATGTGTGTTGAGTTCAGTCTATTACCCTAGTCATCTAAGTTAAATCTCAGAGAGTTTCTATTTTTATAATAAAAAAAACTGCACACTATAGAAAATGTACAAGGTACATTTCATGTATGCACATTACATGCACAACTTTTTGCATCATGGACAAAAGCATATGATCCTGGGAGGCTGAGCAGAAGAGAGCTGGCTTCATGAAAAAGGATCATTTCCCTCCTATTAATTTTTCCATCTTTGATCTTTTTTAGTAAGTGTTGAATATACACAAAATCTTGCTGTTCAGACTTACTTGCCAATTTTGGAGTTAAATATCTTCACATTAATTATCATTTTCTCTATTTTGTTTCTGTAGCAGAAGGCATGAAGGTGAACACAGACTTGGACAGACATAAATCCAGGATGCAAACATACAGTTTAAATTTGTATTGACTTTAGAGGGATTTTTAAAGGAAGGAGAACATGAAGAAGAGAATTTGGAAAGAAAAGAAAAATGATGGATGGGCAAACCCAAGTAGGTGTTGTGAAGTCACTGTTTTTTTGTGACTGCAAACACCTTGGGATATTTCTGACGTCTTCAGAAAGTGGCTCTCATCCTTTGTACTCAATATGGGATGATAACAGGACACAACTGTCGGGCCCCTCTGTATCTGAAAGTCCCGGTACTTCAGTGACACCACATGGTCCTTTCCTCTTTCTCTCATGTTTCGTTGAAAGTAACTTCGTAGTTTGTTATCATCTCTAAATTACTTATATATCAAGGCATCCATTACATGTGAGGAGGAAACATGGTTTGTAATTCTTTTTGCCTTCCTAACTTTATTCTTGACCTGGGTAATATTTTATCTTTTCCAAGGGACTACTTAGTTTTCCTCTTCAGAGCAAGAACACTTCCCTTTTTATTCATCAAAAGAAATGTCCTTATTAATCTGCCCTTGTATATTTTCCTCCAAAAGAATGAATAATTTCAAGACCAACAAACTCATTGTGGCATCAATTCATGGTTTTCTCCCTGCATTTTCCCCATCCTCCCAACATACACATTTAGAGCAGGTAACTAGCAGCCAGCATTTGCAATTCCTTTCTGTAGTTATTTTTGTCAGGGCAGAATGCAGAGCAACCTGAACTCTATCACTCTTCCTGTCATTTGCAAAAGTCTAAACCCACTCACTGCTTCTTCAAGGTGTTCTGGCAAGCGAGGGGAAGAAGGAAAAAAGAGGAAAGGAGATTTCTGCAGAGATGAAGGCTGGCAAGTCTTGAGATCAGCCAGCCTTACTCTTATCTCTGCCCCTGCCCCAGGAGCTGGCTGCAGGGCTGCAGAGTCCAGCCACAGATGCTCTGCTTCTGCAGAGCCACGCCTGGAGGGACTCTGCACACAGGACAAAGGCCACCCTGGCACGTGACTAATAACCAAGAGGACCTTTCTGCTTCCTTGACACTGTGTAAGACACCAATCCTTTGCACAGTTTTGGGGTGTGCATGGGGTGAGGGGGATGAGTGAAGCAACAAATATAGAATAAAATGAAAACTCCTGCCAGCCAGATAGTCCTCCCACAGCTGCTATGGTGGAATGATATTCAGAACTGCTCCATTACAGAATTTTTACTTTTAATCTTCCCTGAGCCTGGCATCCTTTGACCTCCTAGCAAAGAGCATCATTAGCATGCACTTAGTTTATTTACCACTATTTCTTTGAGCATCCATGAATCTTTTTAAAAACTCTCTTCCATTTATAGGCATTTTACAACATGAATTTCTCTTTTAAAATTTTCTTACTTTGAAAAATCTCAAATGTACACAGAATTACAAAGAACAGTAAGATAAATCCCCACATCCCTATCATCTAGCTTCAATAATTATCAACATTTTTTTTTCTAATTTTGTTTCACTTATCAACCCAACTATTTTGTCACTGAGAAATTTTAAACCAAGTCAGAGACATCATAACATTCTACTTGTATAAACATCAGTAAGCATCTTTCACAGGCAGGTCATTTTATAAATATAGGATCACAACACCTTTATCACATCTTTAAAAAAGGCAGACAGTAATTCTTCAAATTAATCTAAAACCAGTCTATATTACAAATTTCCAGATTGTCTTAAAACATGTCATTTATAGTTGGCTTCTTTCAATCACAATACAAACAAAACACATACAGTATTTTGTAGCCTGATTTTCTACGACAGTAAAGAAACCATGTTGTTGTTTAGTCACCAAGTTGTGTCCAACTCTTTTGTGACCCCATGAACCGTATCCTGTTAGGCTCCTTTGTCTATGGGATTTCTCAGGCAAGAATACTGGAGTCATTTCCTAGGACTTCCCTGATAGCTCAGTTGGTAGAGAATCCTGCCTGAAATGCAGGAGACGCTGGTTCAATTTCTGGTTTGGGAAGATCCGCTGGAGAAGGGATAGGCTACCCACTCCGGTATTCCTGGGCTTCCCTTGTGGTTCAGCTGGTAAAGAATCCACCTGCAATGCAGGAGACCTGGGTTCCATCCCTGGAAGGGAAAGGCTACTCACTCCAGTATTCTGGCCTGGAGAATTCCATGGACCAGAGTCACAGAGTCAGACACGACTGAGTGACTTTCACTTTCTCCAGAGGTTCTTCCTGACCCAGGGACTGAACCTGTGTCTTCTGCATTGGCAGACAGGTTCTTTACCGCTGAGCCACCAGGGAAGCCATACCCACATTTAAATTATTGTGCAGACTGTATGAGGCTAGCCTTCTTTACTGAGAACACACTTTGGAAACAAAGAATCTGTGCAACTGTACAAGTTTTCCACCACAGAAAATTTTACTCTTACCCAATCCGCAAAGCAAAATCTTGAGCTATGTATAGCAGCAGGAAAATAAACTTCACTTAGATTATTTCTTCTTAAATCACAGATTTAGTATACTTTTCCCATCTCTAATTGTCAGCCACATGGTCTTGTTTTGAAGTATTTAGGGCACCTGCTAGTTGGGCTGCTGGAGTTGTGTATTTATGCACACATAGCAGTCTGTTAGGGAAGTATTGATTTTTCTACAGCAGTTATAAGACGCTGTGTTTGCAAATGTGGAAGAGGAGCCCACTTTATATTTAGTAAGGATGTTAGTTCAGCTAAAAATAGAAAGAAAAAACTTAACCTTGCAGCATGATGAATGGCAAAGGTGGAACACAGCAGTAGAGAATCACCTCTTTCTTTGTAGACTACTCTTGCAAGTACCAGTATTCTGGCCTGGAGAATTCCATGGACCAGAGTCACAGAGTCAGACACGACTGAGTGACTTTCACTTTCTCCAGAGGTTCTTCCTGACCCAGGGACTGAACCTGTGTCTTCTGCATTGGCAGACAGGTTCTTTACCGCTGAGCCACCAGGGAAGCCATACCCACATTTAAATTATTGTGCAGACTGTATGAGGCTAGCCTTCTTTACTGAGAACACACTTTGGAAACAAAGAATCTGTGCAACTGTACAAGTTTTCCACCACAGAAAATTTTACTCTTACCCAATCCGCAAAGCAAAATCTTGAGCTATGTATAGCAGCAGGAAAATAAACTTCACTTAGATTATTTCTTCTTAAATCACAGATTTAGTATACTTTTCCCATCTCTAATTGTCAGCCACATGGTCTTGTTTTGAAGTATTTAGGGCACCTGCTAGTTGGGCTGCTGGAGTTGTGTATTTATGCACACATAGCAGTCTGTTAGGGAAGTATTGATTTTTCTACAGCAGTTATAAGACGCTGTGTTTGCAAATGTGGAAGAGGAGCCCACTTTATATTTAGTAAGGATGTTAGTTCAACTAAAAATAGAAAGAAAAAACTTAACCTTGCAGCATGATGAATGGCAAAGGTGGAACACAGCAGTAGAGAATCACCTCTTTCTTTGTAGACTACTCTTGCAAGTATAGGTACAAATAAATAAATTTGAGGGGATTTCATGCTTTACTCACTTTCATTTTTTATGGAGGTAACACTGGTTTATAACATCATACAAATTTCATGTGTACATTATATTTTGACTTCTGTATACACTACAGCATGCTCATTATCAAAAATTTAGTTTTCATCCATCATTGAACTGTTGACCCCTTTACTTATTTCACCCTTTTCTACCTCCCTTCAGAAGCCAGACAGAAGAAGCAAGACCTACAGCCCCACGCCCTCCAGAATGAAAACAACAATCACAGAAAGCTAACCAAAATGATCATATGGATCACAGCTTTGTGTAACTCAAT